TAAGAAGTATATAGTCAGAGGTAGAGAACTCGGGTAAAGAACAGGTTTACCAACATATTAAAGTAAAAGGATAAAGTAATAATGGCGAACTAAGTTACTAGATATTGCAGCCAACTAAAAAAAAATATGATTCAATAATTACTTTTTCCAACATTCCCTCTTAATTATTGAACCCCCCAATAATGTTCTTTAAAAAATTGAATCTATCTTTCGGTAAAGGTTTGGTGAGAATGTCAGCTTCCTGAAGGTCCGATGAGATATGTTCGACTGCGATAATACCGCATTCTTGCTTCTCCCGGATGAAGTGAAACTTCACGTCAATGTGTTTCGTCCTTTTTGAAGCCGCTCCATCATCGTTCTTAATCAGGTGTATTGCGCTTTTATTATCTACGTAGTGGATGATCGGCTTTTCCTCAATAATCTTCAACTCTAAGGACAATATTCGAATCCATAAAAGTTCCTTTGTCGCTTCAGCAGCTGCAATGTATTCAGCTTCCGCGGTTGATAGTGAAACTGTAGCTTGTTTACATGATTTCCATGCTACTGCTCCTCCAGCGTATTTGATGACGAATCCAGTGACTGACTTACGACTTAAATCATTGGCAAAGTCCGCATCACTAAATAGTGTTAATTTGGATTCTTGTTTGGTATATCGAATTCCGTGTTTTGACGTACCCTTTAAATATCGCATTATCCTCTTGATTCCTTTCCAGTGAATTTCTCTTGGATGTTCCACGTATCTACTGAGTTTATTAACAATGAAAGCAAGATCCGGCCTCGTTGTAGTGGTCAAATAAATTAAGCTGCCGATAGCTTCTCTGAACGGTTTATCTTTAATCTCTAAAGATGTTTCTTCATCGAAGTTTAGTCCCATCTCAGCAGGCGTTGCAACAGGATTTACATCAGACATATGGAAACGTTTTAGAATTGCATGTACATAACTGTCTTGATGTATAAGAATGCTGCCATCTTTTTCCCTTTCTATTGACATTCCGAGTAGATGTTTTGGTTCATTAGTCGTAATTTCGTATCTTTTTTGTAGATGAATAAGCAATCTCTTTATGTCACTTTCTTCCGACGCCGCGATGAGGCCGTCATCTACATAGAGTGCAAGAAACACTATTGAGCCTGATTTCTTGGTAAATACGCATGGATCAGCCTTGGTCGGTTCTAAGCCTATTTTCTTCAAAAATTTCGTTATATCTTCGTTCCAACATTTGGAAGCCTGTTTCAATCCATACAAGCTTTTCCGTAACTTACACACGCGATTAGTGTCGTCTTCAAATCCCAAAGGTTGTTGCATGTAAATCTCTTCTTTCAATGTTCCGTTGAGGAACGCCGTCTTGACATCAAACTGACAAAGTCGAAGGTGATGAGTTACTGCTGTTGCTAAGATCAATCGGATCGATGTATATCTAACCATAGGGCTAAAGGTGTCAAAATAATCCAGCATATATTTTTGCTGGCAACCTTTTATGACTAATCTTGCTTTGTATCGTGTGTCAGATCCGTTCGTCTTTATTTTAAAGATCCATCTGTTAGATATCGCTTTTCTTCCAGCCGGTAAATCAGTGAGTTCCCATGTGCAATTTTTTATTAACGCATCCATCTCTTTTTTCATGGCTTGTTTCCATTCTTTAGCTGCAGATCCTTTTAACGCTTCTTCTAGACTGTTTGGTTCTTCTTCAATAGCCAATGCTGCAACATAATCTCCAAACCACAGTGGTTTCTTCAAGGTATCACGATTTCTTAAAACTCTTGAGCTTTCCGTAGAATTTTTTGTTAATTCCGTATCTGTAGTTTCAAGATCTTCAAAATCTTCCCTTGTGTCTTCGTAATAACTGGTATCTCCCTCTGAATGTTGATCTTCTTCGTCGAAAATGTGAGAATCTTCTTTGTTGTCTTTTCGTATCAAGGGTTTATCAATAAATTCTACTTTTTCTTTTTCTCTAAATATTACATCACGATAAAATTCCATAGAATGTGTGTTTTTAAAATAGATCTTATAACCCTTGGAATTCTCTGGATAACCGACTAGAATTCCCTTCTTACTTTTTGAACACCATTTTTTTCTTTTTGTTTAGGGATATGAACGTAAGAGCCGAATGTACGAAGATGTGTCCACTCTGGAAGTTTGTTAAAATAAACTTCGTAAGGCGTTTTACCTTCTTGTGGGCTAGTTCCTGTTCTATTGAGAATGTAAACTGTTGTATTTATCGCTTCTGCCCAAAATTCTTTGCCGAGACCCTTTTCCAAAATCATGCTTCTGGCACTTTCCACGATAGTCCTATTGTCACGTTCTGCGCGTCCATTCTGCTCTGGCGTATAAGCAATTGATAATTGATGTCGCATTCCACGTTCTTCTATAATGTTCTTTACGACTTTATCAATAAACTCAGTGCCGTTATCTGATCTCAGTATTCCGACTCGATTTCCTGTATCATTTTCCACCAGTTTTAAGTGTTTTTGAATTATGTTCTTAGTTTCACTCTTATGCTTCATAAAGTAGACAGTTCGATAGGAGGAAGCATCATCTCTGAAATTGATAAAATATTTAGAGCCTCCAATAGAGTCAATTTCCATTGGACCGTTTAAATCTACATGAAGCAATTTTCCTGGTGTGACTTCTCTACTTGAACTAGACGGAAATGAGAGTCGATGCTGCTTACCTTGAAGACATCCTTCACAAAAATCATCTTTATTATCTTTTGCAGTAATGTCAAACTTTTTAAGAATTTGTCTTATATGTTTCATATTTTGGTGTCCTAACCGTTTATGCCAGTCCATGACAGTTGCCATTTGAGCTGTTTCGTGAAAAGCGTTGGATACCTTAATATTCATTTTATACAGCTTACCGATTCTTGTACCCGTTGCGACAACGGTGTTTCCCTGGCTGAATTTACATTCGGTTTGATCTGCTTCATAAGTCAAACCTTTATCCAAAGCGGTCCCTTCTGAGAATAAGTTGTGAGCGAGCTCTGGCACATAAAGCACTTTCTTGAGAGTGGCTGAGATCCACTTGCTTCCATCGAAGACTTCCACGTCTATATTTCCTTCTCCAATCGCATCGATTAAATGCTTATTTCCAACCTTTATCTTCCGTGGAATTTTATAAACAGTAAATTCGTCTCGATTGTACCACTCTGCGTGAAAAGTCATATGATCACTTGCTCCGCTGTCGAGAATCCAATCAGTGTCCATTTTAAGATCTTGACCTCGAGTTGCTATTAGTGAGAGTCGTGTTGATTTTACATCATCATCCTTTGCTTTTTCTTCTTTTGCCTTTTCTTCTCTTGCCTTTTTGAATCTACAGTCTTGCTTTATATGTCCGTGTTTTTTGCAATATACACAGAATTTTGACTTCGGTTTTTGTTGACTTTCTGTATCATTGCTTCCTTTTGCACGACAATATTTTTTAAGGTGTCCTGTTTTCCCGCAAGAGAAACATGTGCTCGTTATATTTCCTTTATTTGCTCCTCTAGTAAATAACGCATTTCCTTCCGCAGCGTTTTCCTTCTCCCTGGTATTTATTCTCTCTTCTTCTAGCAGAAGTCTACTCATTAAATTTTCCAGAGTTTTTGTCTGTGTTGAGTCCCAAGCAGAATGAAAATGGTCATAGGAAGGCGGCAACGTTGACAATATTTTATTCACCATCATTGCATCTGAAACTTTCTCTCCAAGAATATTTAATTGATGTGCGAGATCTTCGAGTTTTGCTATATGTTTTGCCATGCCATCGCCTTCATATTTTAATCCGTAAAATTTTTGCATTACAGTATTTATTGACGCTTCTGACTTGTGACCATGAACCGTTTCCAATCGTTTCCACATTTCGGCAGAAGTGTCGCATACCATTAAGTGTGCCATATTTTGCTCACTTACCGACGAGACAATGTATTTTTGCGCCTCTAAATCTTTTTTCAGCCACGCCTTCGTTTGAGCATCGTCTTGCGAATTCGGTTTCATTACCGTTCCGTCCACTATTTCCATTAGCTCACTGTTGCGAAGTATGATTTTTAGCGCGAATTTCCATACAGCAAAATTGCTTCCGTCTGAAGTCAACTTAACCGCGTGTATCTTCCCAACGGTATTTTCCATGTCTTTCGATGAATTGTAACTGATGCAACTTACAGACAAGTTTTGTGATGAGGTTAGCACACGTCTTTTCTTTTCTACTTATTTCACTGTTATGTCCCGTAATCCTGGGCCCATAACCTGTTTGAGCTTGATGAAATACGCAGGTTTTCACAGGTAATAAGTATATATTTCGTAATAATACAAAGAGACTTTCTTAGAGGAAAGAAAAGATGTCTGAGCACTCGAAAGTGTGACGAACAACCAGAAAGTAAGAAGTATATAGTCAGAGGTAGAGAACTCGGGTAAAGAACAGGTTTACCAACATATTAAAGTAAAAGGATAAAGTAATAATGGCGAACTAAGTTACTAGATATTGCAGCCAACTAAAAAAAATATGATTCAATAATTACTTTTTCCAACACTAATCATTAAAAAACGACGTGTAAAATGTCCGAGAATATGTCTGTTCATCCGTCGAGAAAGATTTTCTGCCGCTAAACACTCGACGGTTATCCCTCTCGAACACTTTACGACAGCGAGAAGAAAGGCATCCCCCTCGGACTCTAATATATATCCTCGATTTTGCACATCATCCTCGCAGTCAAGGGTGGAAGGAGGAGAGGGCGACCCGTGCCAAATCAAGCGTGGCGTCATCGATCGCGAGGCATGCCTTCACATTGTTCAGCGTGAACACCTATTGTGCCTCCTTCCTCCGGTCTTGTCACCCGCGGTTTTTTTGCGATGCGGCTCAATTACTTTTCGATTCGTCTTCATGTCGTCGTCATCGTCTTCGTCGCCCTCGCAGCCGCCGCCACCGCCACCGCCGCCGTCCCCTTCGCGCGTTGGGCTCCTGCTCTAGGTTAGCCAGTGAATCATCTTCAACGACCCCCTCCTCTGGGATCCGGGCAGAAGACTCTTAAGGGGGCTCACGGCGCTGCGCGAGGCCAGTCCGAGAACGCGATCCTAACACTAACATCCGGTGTATTCCGAGAGAAAGAGGGAGAGAGAGAGAGAGAGAGAGAGAGAAGAGACGAGAGTCGGAAACGGAAACGACTGACTGCTTGATCGCCGCACTGCCAATACAGTAATCGGCACGCTAACATGAAGATCATCCTGTTGCTCGTCGTCGTCGCGGCTTTCGCCTCAGGTTAGTACCCTCTTTTACATCACGACACAATGCCGGCTCATTCGTACGCTCGCTTTAACACCCACGGTGACGTCTTCATTATTATGAAATGATTGTTCTCTTAACTTCATCATAGGCATGTTGGATGTACTCTTCCGCTCGACCATCGGCATCTCTTGCACGATCTTCTAATCGGCCACTTAACGCGCAGTGTTATTCGTGAAAACGATATTCATCATTTATTTTAATACTGAAGAAAAATTCAAAATTACGAAAAGGATGAAATTGTAAAATTGAAAAAATTATCAATATTTGACTAAATTATTTAAATATTTAATTTATTCAATTATGTATATAAGCAATTTGTTTAGAAATATTTTGTAAAGATTTAGAAATATATATATTTGAAATATATATATATATATATATATATGTAATATATATAAAAGATTTAGAAATATATATATATATATGAATATATATATTTTATCAAATCTTTACAAAATATTTCTAAACAAATTGCTTATATACATAATTGAATTTTTGAAAACAAATACTCATATTTTATATATTATATATTCAATATATCTTTATAGATCTCACAATCAATTACAAATACTCGTTGTATTTGAAATTTTTATTTCTAAATTGTTTCAATTTTAATGTTATTCCTGTTAATATATTTTCGTATTTAAAAATTTTTCTACATTACTCGACTGTTTCTAAGTCACCGTTTCTCACTTTTCTGTCAGAAAAAAAACCCCTGCACCAACTGTTAGCGCATTCAAAGTTGAGACCGGAAATAACCGATGGTAGAACACGCAAGTAACATAATGCATCGGTTATATCGCGTCTCTTCAGAGAGTTTCTGTTCTTTCAAAATTCTATCCATTATAATGCAGCATTCAGTGTCTATAAGAATCATTAACATTCCATAGAAAAATGCTACTTTTTAACTGTGATAAAACAATAATAAGTAGATATAAATAAAAATTAAAAAATCTTATATTTTTTAAACAAATATTTGTACACTAAAAGGAATAAATTTTATGACATTTACGTGTACAAATCAAAATCTTTGCAAGAAAAGTGATATTATACATCGAGGAGACAATCCTGGGCGCACGAAGGATATTCAAAGGCTCACTACTTGCAATCATTAAAAATAAAAGAGAGAAAAAGAGATTACACTTGCAGATAAACGTTTACCGAGACTGTTTATAAAAAAAATTCGAGCGCCGTTCATGTATGTGGACTCGTTCCTGGGATCGGGAATCTCGTCAAGTATCATTAACCGAACGGCGGGAACGCATTACGTGAACGAAGCTGTAGTTTAAAGCGGCTAGTCGCCTCTTCTTTCGCGCGCGCACACACACCGGCGGCAGACGTCTCAAGGCCTTCGGGTCATTTACCACCACCTGCACGTCCAACTTCACGATCCGGAACGTTTTTGCTCCGGATGCGCCTCTACGAAGTATCCAGAGCCGTGACTAGACTTCTGCCAAAGACTTCGGCCGGACGGATATCTCGTGCCGATCGTCTTGCTTCGCCGCCCCCTCCGTTGTATAATGACGCGGTCACGCGCGCACGCGAAATTGAACCTCTCGAGAGAAATCCCGATTGATTCGCTTCGATCCCGTCGAGATTCTTCAGGATGCCGTAACAAAGAAGTTTCGAATCACTCGTCTTTATCAGAAACGAGAAACAATATCGCATTCTATATCTGTCTTCTCACGTCGCGTTTCCATTTGGGTCTTTTGATCTTTCATTTTGATTTCGTTAAGTCACCGGATCTTATAAATTTCGTGACTATGGCCTATATATACTGAATGAACTTGTTCTCTTCTTGCACCAAAGCCCCCTTTTGTTTCATAATTCTCTTACGTAAGAGTACCAAGAAATATCTCTCGACTCACTCATCTCAAACATATATAATTACCAGGCGCGTTTTTTTTATACCCCTCGCATTTCTCGCTCTCTATCTCTCTTAAAATATCTCCAGATGTAAAAAAGTCAATTTTTCTTATCACCATCTTTACAACTAACATGTAGTACAGAGCAGAGAACAATTGCGACTAGAAACAATGAGAGGGACTCGCATTATCGTTGCGACACTCGTTCACCTAGGGGCTATTCGGGGGTCTCGACGCGTCATAATTCATAAGTACAGTTAACCAAATAGCCGTCGCGGTTCAATGAACCCGCAACTTGATGTATCGTGTGAACACTGCCCTTGTCATAAAGCTTCGAGTCATTGTGAAGCCGCTAAAAACGTGCAGCATCAGAATACGCATTTAGAGTGAAATTAAAATCGTATTATGAAGCGAACGACGCGACGCTGGAATAGTCGCTTCAATTTCGTTCTTCTTGCCACGTCTTGTATGTCACTATTGTATTGCACATAATGCGATGAAAATGATGCTTCTTAGCGTATAAATTTATACGATCTTTTTCTGGGAAGTTTCTCTGTTCTTGAAACGTTTATCGCAGCTAAATATTAGAGATTACGTATAAATTATCTGAAAAGTTTCCAAGTTAAAATCTTAACTTTGGTTGTATTACTGTTCTCATATTAACGATCGTATTTTGGTGTATTGAAAGACGTAGGGAAGTTTTTAATAAAACAATAGTAACGGTTCTCGATCGCTAAGCTTCGAGCACTACGGTACTAAAATAGGATGTTGCATTAATATTCACTGAATGCATTCTCATGTCTCGACTGCCATTTGTGGCTTTGTCGAAACTGAACGACAGACATGCTTCGATAAATCATAAGTCATTCTAATAAATATCTTTTTTAAATAAAACCTTATAATCGATTAAATTAAAAATCTTTTTTCTTTAATTATAATTTTAATAATTAAGAAGATGATTATGTGGAATAACATAAAAATAATAAACAAATTATAATAGTATAAAAACAAGAGATTGAATTATTTTATTATTAGAGTATATTTTGTTATAAAATTAGTAATTTTTTTTTTTCTTTAATGAACATAATTACCACTGCTATTATTGTGTGCATAAATTTGATAGCCAAGTATACATACATACAGTCAAATTATTGTGCGTATTCCCGAGAATGATATCAACTAACTTGCCCTAATTTCACACACGTGATACAATTGAATGTATTCATAGCACGGTTTTAACGTGGTTTAAAATAAGACGTGACGCAAACGCAACTTTAGGCGTTATTAAAGAGAAATGTATATAAAATGTTTCGTTTACAGCCCAGAGGATCACAACGATCCAGCTGGATGGCATACAGTACTTCGTGTCACGAATGAATCCCTACAGTCCGGAACTGAATTACTTCCTGGCGTATCAATATTGCCGCTCGCTGGGCCTCCAGTTGGCATCTTTTGAGACGAAAGAAAAGGCCGACACGATGACGCAATACCTGAAGAACGCCGGTTACACGAAATACGACTTCTGGACCTCCGGCAACAAGCTAGGCACCGATATGTTTTTGTGGATGAGCACGGGACTGCCGTTTAATGTCACCTTCGACTACATGCTGAAGCGACCTGGTAACAGACCTGCTGACGTACCACCCGGTACCGAACCCCAAAGGGTGGCGCGCGAAAGGTAACGTCTTTTGAAATGAGTACTATTTAATTAGTAGAAAATGTTAATTAAACCAGAAGACATTAATATTGAGTATCCGCTAAGAATTAATTAAATACCTATATTTCCACCGAAAGTTAAAAAGGCAGTTGAGATAGAAGAAGCAATATTTTTTTTTCATCATTTTTCACGATCGAAGAATCCCCATACTAGTCGACCGTAGTTGTTACGAGCAACGCGGTCATCAGCCACTCTCTTCCGCAGTTCTAACACCCGGAAACTCGTGCGTGGAATAGCTAACGTCAAAACAGGTATTCTCGTTTAAATTCCAAAACGCGAGTTTCTCGATTTCAGCGGCGACAGCGGCAGCGCGGACGGATGCGTCGCGATGGTAGCACCTACGTTAGCCTGGGAGGCGCAGGATTGCACTATCGTGAAGGACTTTATCTGCGAGCAAACAAGATGCTACTACTACAACTACGGCAGCATTCCAGTCTCCGCGACTCAGGGGTAAGAGGTGAGATAATACTTGTCACAAAAATACACGAGTCGAATGGAAGGAGAGAGAAAGAGAAAGAAAAAGAGAGTCCGCGGGAATACGCCGATGTACTCTAAGCGAATCTCGCTTATGCACGGACAAAAAGTAAATAACCCTCCGGCGATAAGCTATGCAAATGCATATTGCGATAATTGAACGTGTTTATCCCTCTTGCTACCGAAGTATGCAGGAATTGCAGGATGGCTGACTTCGGCGACAGATGAAAATTTATTATTATATATATTCGCGGCTCGCGTAAATATATCTATGTCTTGTGTCGACAACGCGTCAGCTATAATTTCGATCTCGTGGAACGTAGAATGTAGTCAATTTTTTTTTCTTTTTTTTTTTTTTTAGCGAGCACTTAAAGTTTACGAGGGTGCGAACGACGCGATACTTGTAGCCGGACGTCACCGGAACAAGCTTTTTCCTCCGTGCAGTCTAGCGAGAGATAGAAATAGTTTGAAACGAGAAATGCTTTTTCTTCCGCAATTCGCGGTAGAATGGGGAATGAATTATTACGACGATCGAGATGCGCTGAATCTTGACTCGCCAGTGTTAAACCAGTTTCTTCGAGATCTTCCTCGCATAGCTAATATATAGCTTCGGGACAGAAGTGTCGATGAATGAGAATAGCTCAGCCACGATACGGAATTCCAGAGCAAATGCCTTTACAGCTTATTCTTAATGCAATTATTCTCTCGCTTCTTGACGTACGACATTCACAAACGACGATACACTTCTTATACATACACACATACACATTTACACACATTTACTCAATGCAGATAACTGCTATAGAATTATTTACGTTAATCCATTGACAGTAAAACTACGCTTTTCTCTGCTATTAATACGGCGCTTAAATTAAGCCACTAATAATCATAAAATGCTAACTTAACTGTAAATATTCTCAATAGATTTTGGAGAAATTAATAATTTTAGAATTCCTGTCAAAAAGCGAGGGTGACAAATCGTCTCTTAAACAAGATCTTTTGTCTTTTTAGAAATCACAGGCCCTATATCACGACCACCTCGGCGCCAGCCAGCGACGACCAAGCGAATGATTACGGAACCGATAGCACCAACATCGACGACCACCATCCGAGTATCGAGGCTCAAAACGAGCAGGAGGCGACACCACCGGAAGCGGATACGTCCACGGACGAGAAACTCTCGGAAGACCCGGTCGTCAGCAGGCTAATCACCACGACCGCTCCCGCGTCTGGCAATCAGTATCAACAGCAGCAGCAACAGCAGCAGCAGTATCAACACACGGGAACGACGGCATCGGCGACGTCGCTGTTCGACGACGGTAATGAGCGCGAGCGCACGGCCGTCGGCGACCTGAGCGACATAAGACCGGAGCACATCCCGGACATCGCGAGCCTGTTCACCGGGCACGTCGCCGTGGCGTCTCAAGCGCGCAAGGACAGCGTTTTCGACGGTCTCGAGACTCGCGAGGTCCTGCGGCCGTCGGCCTCCCGTCCCGTCGTCTCCCCCGCCTCCTCCTCCTTCTCGTCGGAGATGAAGATGGAGCATCGCGAGTCCCCCGACTACGGTGACCTGACCGCGGAGACTGAATTACCGAACAACGGTCTCGAGGACGCCCACACGATTGGGCCGTACGACAGCGTGCAGGATTACGTAAACGATCAGCCGGCGGACACGGCGTCGTCGTCGGCGGACTCGGCGATGATGAAGGACCAGGACGACGACAGCAGCACGATCCTGCCAGAAGCGGAACCGGCCTATAGGTACAACATCAAAGTGCGCACCAACGGCAAAGTATTAGACCCTCCGTCCAAGTAACGCTTTACTTCCTCCTAGATAACGTCGCGTTATTTCGTTTTATAAGTGACAGAAACACACAAATCGACATTCTTGAGGAATTAGGTATATATATGTATGTATATGTATATCAGAGTGCATTTTTTTTTGCACTTGTGACACGAGCGAGCTGTCGCTGTTGCGCGGATTCAGACAGATCGCTATCGTTGTCGCCGCTCGCCGTTTAGCTCTAACTTAAAGCGTACCCGATACAATGCTCGATAGTTTTCAATCAGAGAGGCACTATTATCAGCTTTCTCGGTCGGCGGCAGGCAGAGATTATTTTGAACCGTCAGGATCTCGATGCTTAAAACGAACGAGAATGAGTAACGCTGTGGCTCAGAAATGCTATTATCAACGATGTCGAAAAGAGAAAAGTTCTGGTGTCAATCGAAAAGACGAATTATTCTCCTGCCGACGTTACTCGACAAGCTTTACATTTTCACAAGGGCATTTACTCGATTAATCAGCTCTCACTTTCTATCACCGATGACGCCGGCGAATTATCATTGTCATCGTATCATTTATCCCTCATTTCTATTTCATTAAATTCTCATGTTCAGCATTAAACAATAAAACTTAGAACAATAGAAAAAAGAATAAAACGAAATTAAAGGTCCAATGATTCATTATTGAATAATAATAAATATTGCTAGCTTCCGTCAGCGTCTTATATCTTCATAAGATAGTAATTATCATCATCATAGTTAACATATCTATACGTCTGCAAGACGAAACGTTTGACAGCCAAACGATTCCCGAAATATTTTGGAATGCGTGATGGATGTTAAAGAGACCACACCGAGAGAGTCGGTCGCAAATGTTTCGGTCATCCAGACGTATGACGATCGGCGTACGTAGTTTTATCAATGAGAAACGTTACTCTCTAGCTGTTACGGTAAGTCACTTCCATATTAATTCTGTGTACAACGGCGCGAATGTGCGACTTGTGTACTGAACTTTAATAAAGGTATTACAACTATAGTCTTATGGTATCACGCGTCTACCATTCGCTGCTCCCTCTTACATTCTATCCTTAGGCGCAAAGTTAGGAAATCTTATGTGCTAGAGCTAGGCACATTATCTAAAAATCTACACCACAGCTTTTTTTAATAAAATAAAAAGCGATTTGAAAGAAACATATACATAACTAATATAATAATGTTAACTCACCAGCCGTTCACGACACCTTCTATATTTAGCATAGGAATTATTTTGAACACATAATCGTCGCGTAAGCTGCTGGCGTACTGGTTGTCACTTAAGAGGGCCTCCATCGTTCCGTGCATCACCCAAGAAGCGTTGCTTTCACCGGGGTGTACTCTGGACGTTAAGAAGATCATCTTTCGTGTCTGACAAAGAAAATGGAGCTTTAAGTGTCTGCTGCGTCAAATGATTTATTGCCATGCAAAGATTTATATATTTGAGAGATTTCTCACGTGTATAGGATTGCTCTTGGAATCCGGTGACGTAATGGTGAGCACAGGATTCTCATTGCCGTTTAAAGTCTCGCAGAGTGTTTCCGCACGAAAATACACGTTCGCTCCGGAGACTCTCCTCGTCCACTTCCAGATGTTGGTCATCAGCCGGCTGTACGTGTACGGAAAATGATACGCCAGATAGCAAATGTCGTAAGCGTGCGGAAACGTAACGGTGAAGGACGTCGTGAAGTACGTTTTTCCCTTGGTGGATCGTTGATAACAATTTCGATAGTAACAAATGTCAACGCCGGTCCTCACCCAACCTGGCCTACCGCACCGCGCCTCTGTGACGCTGAACAGTATCGGCTTCATACCGAAGTTAAATTGCGAGTTCGTTTTCTCGCAGTTGATTATATTAAACGTGTACGATGCATTCGCCTCCATGCCGGAGACCTCGAAGTAGAACCACTGATGTCTGGAACCGCTATTGACATCCGGCGTCAAGATAAGATCATATTCTCGTGGACCTATCTAAGAAGAAAGCAGACATTAAATATTAATGTAATGCACAATTTAAAGAAAAAGAAATTTATATATACATATATATATATATATATATATATATATACACACATATATATATATCCTCAGAATAGCTTGTAAAAATTTACGCGCCAAGTCACTACGAAACCTTACGTAATATGAGCATAATCGATTACATAAAGCGCAAGGAGCGGACCGATTGTATACCTGAATAGCTTTCCTCAGATTACCGCTTTCGAATCTGGACTCGAATTGCAACTGTTTCGTGTCTAAAGTGCGCTTGCCGATCCTCCTCTCGTCCCAGTTACCAAACAGCCGCTTGTCGCCCAACGTCGCCCGGGAAGCGGAGTTTGCGAGTGCATCGAGGTCATAAACAACTTCCTGGATGGTGGCGGCGGCGTGGAGACCGCGTTCCACGCAGGTCAGCAATTTCGCGCGGCAAACCTTCCTGTCCTTAGTGTTGAGCGGCTCAGCTTTTCCCAGTCCGTCGCCGCCGATCAGGTCCGGATAGGCGACCTTGACGAAACCGATAACGCTCCTCACTCTGTTCGCCACGGCGCAATACACGTGCCGATCCGTGATGTTCGCCGGTATGTCTTTTAGGACCTTCAAACTGTGCGTGCCGTTCACCAATTGACCCTTCGTCGTACCGTTAGATCTCGAAAAGTCCTTGATTGAGCTCTTTGCCTTTCCCGCTTTCGCGAGCGGCAAGTTTATCCGAACGTCGTTCACCAAACAAAGATCAATTAGCTTGACGTTCGACGATCCGACGATGTTTAATTGCGATTGCAAATTTCCCAGCTCCTTGAAGAACGTATGGTATCTGATGAAAAAAAAAAAAAAAGAAATGTTTGCGTTTGTAATTATAATTGATATTCATACGCGTCTGCAAAAATAATGTTCCGTTTACCCAGCAAGATCCTCCTCGGATCTCTGCGAGGTAAAAACCCCGGCAAAAAATTTGTTCTCATCCACCTCGTCGCCCACGTGAATCTCATTGTCCATTGTATCTCTGGAATCGTGGCTCTCCTCGTCATCCCCGGAATCGAGATCGCTATACAGTCTACCAGCCGAAGCCACGCTGTTTGCCTATGCAGCAGAAATCAATATTCGAACCGTACGAACATTTTAATGGTACAAATTTCGATACTACGGACATATTGCGACATTATATACGCAAAGCGAAAATTGTAAGAGAAAGTACACGACATTATATGTATATATTAATAAATACATGCTTTAGTCGGCCAAATATATTACTTGCGCATTCTGTCGATTCGATTTTGCATAAAGAAGTACACACCTGGCTGTCGATGTCGCTACCACTTTCAACACTGTTCGCCCTGTTGACATTCACTTCGGGCAGAACGAATCTGCAAGCATAAAAAGAGAAAATCGACTAAAAATTTAATGCATAGTCGTAATCGTAAACAAGGCATTGTCACGTCGTTTGCAATGCGTTAATCTTTAACCAATCCGATAATATTTCATATAACGGAAGCTACTGTTAAATTATTCGCCTTGTACATGATATTTCATCCCGGTAAAAAAACCGATCAGCCCACAATATTTGTAAAAAAACACTCCGTGAATATGTCGAAATGTAATAAACAATTATCACACGAGATATAGCATATGGTCGAGATGACCTCGGACGTTTCATTCACCTCGCGGGCGACATTTCGGGCACCGGTAATTCCTTCTTCTCCTGACACTGATTGATGATCCCGCAAATACGCGACAGCAAGCAGTCATAAGCTTTGTCCTCTGGGCAGTTCGTGCAGAACCGGTATAGTAGCTGTAGGCCATTGTTCGACTTGATAGCCTTCCTTCCAGCTTCTAGAACGGCGAGCAAGAAGAACGCGTGTGATACCGGCGACTTTCGAGAGAATATTATTAATAGAGAATGATAAAAATAAAATTAAGCAATTAATATCTCCCAGAGACCATAGTAAACATACTTATTACGCAAAGATGCTGAAGCGTATTCAGAGCGTAATTACAAATCTTTAAGCGTATCTGTCCATCGAATCTCTCCCACCTCTCGAAGATTCGCATAAGTAGGTGTACCATTCCCGCCTTAATGAATTTGTTGCAGCATAGTTCTAAAAGTGAAAAATTATGAATGTAACTAAAACAATTAATAAATAAAAATTAAAAACGTTAAATAATACTACACATGTGCTCACTATTTGTCGTTAAATGTTTGAAACACTCCAATAATGTTTTCAATTTCAAATGTGGCGTATAACCGATACTAACAAACGTTTTCTCCAAAGTACCAGTGATTCCGTCCTTTACTAGTGTTTGCAAGAAAAAAGCTATGAAAAAGATAATAGCGTTGTCATTCTCGAACGCACAAGCGAATTGTCAGATAAAACAAATTGTTGCTTACAGTTTTTAGCAAGAGTTTTGATGATCAACAACAGCGGCAATAACGTCTTGCTGTTATTGTAATGCTGTTTTAACAGCGCATGGAACACTTTTATGGAGTTGAGCAGTTTTATTTTTGACACAAATTTCTGGTCCCTTTGAGCCACCTAAAAGAAATTGCAAAATAATTTCAAAAACCTATATTTTAAAAAAATAGATATATTTTTATTGCATATTTTTATTTGAAGTTCTTCTTATTATACAAAAGAATTTTTAATTTTAATATAATCTCAGAATAAAAACAATTATGCTTAGATATAGTGCATAAAATAACAATGTAAAGTTAGAAATAGCCGAAATAAATCCTATACTCCAGAAAAACTGAAATTGAAAAATATTTTCGTAGACATACGCAGTGCGATCGATAAAAGTTCTGCTGTGCAGATATACAACGTGTCAAAAGTATTTCCTTCTATTCATGCGGAAGCAGCGAACCAAACAACATAATTGTTCGTAATTGCAAAATAAAATTAAAAAGAAGTTTATTACGGTGCATCGTCTTTAAAAATCACCTGTCCCAAAATCCAGAGGATGTCTTGAGTGAGTACTTCGCTCATGATAGTATCTGCGTGTTGCAGATTTATTAAAAGTTTAACTAGGACTTGCGTGATACCTAAGTTGATCAGTTGAATGACCGCCATTCGGCTACTGGTTCCTATTAAAGAACGAGCACGAGTTATTTCCAATCCTGAGGAATAAAGCACTATCGAATCCGCGAATTTGACCATCCGCGTTCTCGATAAAAACATGTTTCTCTATAATAAGCAATTGCAATTACTTGTGGAGGCATTTCGATTCTTGCTCCCTCTCTCCTTGGATTTGCCCTTGATCATTCGGGGCGATATACATTCGTGCAGTATGCCGGCGATACTGCAATTAGCAACGTTGTCCTTGCAATTCTAAAAACAAATTTTGAAGAGTAATCTCAATTTTTCTCTTAATTTTCCTCTAAACGTATATTATGTAGAAAACACATTGTGATTTCTTTCTTCCTTTCTGTTTCGTATGTACAGCGTAACAGTGACAAAAACTGCTGCGATAATAGCAAAAAGTAATAAAGAATCGCGCGGGTAATATGCAAGTAATTATTTTATGTGAGCGTTCCGACACTCCCGTTGGAGACGCGGAACAGACGGATATCCAGATTTACGAGCTCGGTCTCCCGCGACTTTCTCGAGCGTGTAGAAACAATGCAGGATGCGTGTTGCGTGACACGATATTTCACAGAGAGTACAGACTAATTATTATAGTTACTCTTGGCTCTACGTCATGTTAATGACGTGCCCGAATGATCTCACGTGTAATTATCTCCCTCTCTCGCACATACGCGTATTGATCTCGACTGCTGTTAACACGCGAAACAATCGTAGCTTATCCGTAGCGTCGATAAGACGCTACACAGACGTGTTAAAATTAACAGGAGCGAGAAGAGATTCCCGTGACCAAGACTCGCCAAAGGATTATTTTAATTAAAAATATTCACCTCTAGAGTCATAATGAACGATTCCATCACACCGGAATTCTTGCGCCAGAGCTTTTCCAACGTGCGCTCGCGTATCCGCCGATCTGAAAGATACATGTGAAGCGATAAACCCGTTTTACCGTCTGTTTTTGTTTAAATCAAATTCGTAAATCGCAATTTATTCGTGGGCGCCAGATGTCCTAGTGTCTTGCCAATGTCAGTTTAACATATGTACAACGTTCTCTTTGAGGAATCAAGAATACCGTATGTTCGCACGTACTCTTATGTGAAAGTTAACGTAGTGCCAATTGGGATCAATGTCATACGACGTTCATAAAAAATTCACATAATGGCATTAATCGAATGCCCTTGCGACAAATATCGTCGATATATCTGCAGTATATAATGCATTGAGAATAATACAAATTATACGTATGAGTTTTCGCTTCTGATGTCATGATAACGGATATAACAACGGTGACGTGAAACGTGACCTACAGCGAAAATTTAGTAACGTCTAAAAGTATCCAACTATGTCGCAAAATTTTCAGATTATATTAACTGCAATCGCGTATAAATGCGCGAAACTGTGAAACTCAACCGCGCAGTAAATTTCACGATCCGCGAGAACACCGACCAGGAAGATTGCCAGGCCCTTATCAAATTGGCGCACGGGCGCGATTCGCGCGTGTATCGTTCGAAGTCATAGTTTCCTGGACGCCGGCCAACGAGTCTCTGTCGTCAGTGTTACCGAATGTCATTACGCAATCGGCTAACAGGCGGTTCTTCTATTCTAAAATAGCACACACACGGTAGCGATTGACTGTGTTGTTTGCACACCTGTTCGCTGATTGTCCGAAGGTCCAGGACAGATTGACGAATTAATATTTGGTAATTACACGCGACAGTACAAAAATAGCGTCTTACAATAATTACAGTGTAGCTAATAAATCTCGAATAAAATTGATAATAACAATATGCTTAAAGAAATATTTTTTAAAGCCTAAAATTATTTATATATAATAAAAGTTTTTGTGCGAAAAAATATCAGAAATAGGAATTAGAAATACGACTGCAGGGCAAATGACTAGTCGTAAAGTTGTCGACTTGTTGTCGATTCGAAAATGACTTGAATTTACACTACACAATTTTGTCCGCTTACGCATACAGCTGGCTGGAGAGTGCTATGACCCAAAACGACATGTATGTACACGTACGATTACTGTATTCATATCTTCTTCGTCGTACACTTGCGTCTCCTCGACATAAATGCTCGCTGCTTTCGGTAGAAATTTCGTGTGGCTCATATACGTTTTATCAAATTTCATACGAACGGCACGATGCAAATGCAATAAGAACAATACGATGGCGCAGAACGTGATGAACGATTTCCTTTGCCATCCATTGCGGGGGAATCACATGAGAATGATAAATCGCGCAAGTTTCCACTGTGATTTCGTGCTCGCCAAGAGTAATAATATACCGGCACGAATTTCTCCCTGGAGTGTCCAATCTACCTTCCGATTCGTTTAGAACTTTATTGCCGCGATCGCGATTCGCGCGCAATATCGTACGCTTATCGTACGAGACCTTAATGGGGACGACACGCGATACGAAACATTAATGAGAAGGGAAATTGCCGTGGCGTTGCTAATATTTGCTATATAGAATCGAAACAGAGAGATAAAAAAGATATAAAGAGATTTAAAAAATACAAAGCACATTCTATTAGCTCTTATATATATTATTAAAATAAAATTCTGTGAAATGTTCACAGAATTTTTATAGGAATCGTGCATAAACAATCGAGAGATTCGTTACAGCCGGTAAATGTCACAGAAAAAGGTTAAATTGGCACGAGACTGGCACACAAATGTCTTCTGAAATACAAAGTCACCGCGTCTCTCGTTGACGAGATGAGGGATTCCGGTAGAGTTTTGCGTACCTGCTGAGGTGACACGCGCGTGAATCTTGGCCGCGATCGCCCTGAGCGCGTCGCCCGCTTCCTGCGGTTTAGCCGCGTAAGTTCGGAGCTTCTCCAACAACGCATCGTTCACGACCTCATCCGCGTTTTTATTGCCCGCTGACATCACACTAAACAACGCATCACAAAACAACGAAATATCATTTACTCTCCTAGGGGAACTGTTCGATGCGCATCGATAGCGCGGAAATCATAAAAAGCCATTGCTGATTTCGAGGTCTACGGGAAAGTGAACACGATAGGGTGTCAAAACGATATGCACGCTAGGTGCAAAAGCGTACACTCGAGCTCTGTCTACGATGACAAGTGAAACGATGAAAGATTATAAAGGCTGCACAAGCTAACGTTTCGCATTGCCTTACGGTACCTGAAAAAGACGATGATTGACGATTATTTTCTCGTACATATAAGAAGTGACATCGCGTTTTTCGTCTCTCCCCTCATATTCCTATTATCAGCATATGCTAACTCGTTTTAAGGATACCCGCGACAGTTGCAAAAGCGCGATAACTTCCCGTTACGACCGATGCGACGGGACGGACAATGGTGTGACATCGCGCGAGCGTCGGTAATGCCTCGTCGCATCAATGAATCTTCATTGGCTTTCGGCCAGGGCGGTTGGAAGAGCTGTTAATCACGATTCGCAATCAGCTGGTCGCGGTTAGTCAATGTCGCGGGGATTAAAGTCAACCATCGGAAAATCGACGCGCGTCGGAGCCAAGGTTAATTAACGCGACCCAGGTAAAACGCGCTTTAAAATAACCGCGACGCGAATTGTCCTCGCGCAAGCCACGATTCCGGGAAGGACGACCAGAAGGAACTCATTACCGAAACATTTTAATTAAAGCGTCCAACTGCGCGTTAACTAGCAACGATGTCATATTAAAGAATGACATGCTCCACTTGGCCACGTTACGAGGGATCGTCGGCAATATCAAAAGCATCTTAAAATTATTTTGATAATATACATGTATATTACTCGTCCTAAACTTAGATCTAATTTTCTCACGTTTAATTCTAGTTACGTGAAATATTTGCGAAGCAACTATAAAAGCAGAAGACGGCATGCGGAATATTTAATACGAAGCTATTTTAACCCTTCAAGCAGGCAGATACAAAAATAAGAACAAAAAGACATTAAGTAATAAGATATTTATTGATAGCTCGCAGATTACAGAGACGTTTTTAAATGGGTGTGCTCCTCTGCAACGTGTACAGCGTGTAGTTCGAAACGTGTAAACATCCTCAAAGGGTTAAAGGAATGCGTGAGTTATTGCATTAGGCATTGCATCGGTGCGCTTAACGAGAGAAGCTACGGTGATTAAATGTGTTTGCGGGATACGGCGTAACAATCGCAAAACTTCCTCAACTTCGGTTTATTAAGCGGGATAATTGAAAATAAACGTCGCGTAGCTTTGTAGACTCCTTTTAACGACGACACACTCGATATCTTCGAGCCGAACGACAATTAATGTACACCGCTTAGCGGCCGGTAATGCCGTACGCTTAATTGGCACATGAAAGCTAACCCAAGCGTATAACGAATCGCGATGTCAACGGATACACATCGGATCGATGTAATCTCGATAAAAAGAAAAAAAAGAAAGAAATATCGAATGTAATAAATTCAGCGCGCACACGCGAATATACGTGCGAGGCCAGATTATCTTTCGTCCGGATTTATTACCGAGTTGCACGAAATTTGTTTTAAAGTCGCTTAAGGTATACTCAAACTATTAAGGAAGCGTAATCAGATGCTTTATAATTACAATAAATAAAGCCGTCCCAGTGCCATTGAAAGTTTTTATAAATTTTCGTAAAACAGCAAATTCTATTTTCGTAATTCAACCCGCTGATATCGGCAAAAGAAATGAAAGTCTTCGGCCTCGCTGTATAAATATAGCGATAGTCAGAAAAGCATATCGAAATAAATACCGCATACTGAACGCATACCGGGCGTATACGCTACCGTACGTACGATCGTCGACCGGAAACCACGACGGAGATGGCGAGAGCACGCACGTTACACACATACACACGGAAACACGGATTCTGTCTTCTAGGCTCTTTACTCTTCCTGCCGGACGTCGTCGGCCGTGTTCTCGTCGACCGGTCGTTGCATCGTCGCTGTCGGCCGTCGATTCTCCTTGTCGTACTTCACCGATGTACCTTTCATAGCTCTCCCTCCATCTATCTACCTCTGTCAAAAGTCAAATTTAATTTCGTGACTGCTCTATAGAAAAGAATAAAATTTTTCGCGACTTTTCCAGACGTCCGTTGTGAATTCTTCTCGGCGCGACGTCGATGACAAGACGCGAGAGCTTGGCGAACGTGGAAAATCTTTTCTCTCTCTTCGCGCGAAATTTGCAAAGCGATCCTCGCGCTTCGCCACTCCGCGACGGTTTGACGTTTCTGCCTGCCAAAACTATGTTTAAATGCATACCGCGCGCGCACACACACACATACACACACAGACGCGGGGCACGTCTATTTTTAGCGACGGCCGCTTCCCGAAAATCGCGCCCCCTTTCTCTCATCCCAGCGATAACACCCTCGCGTCCTCCAGCACCCTGGCGTCATCGACCGATGCGCCACGATGCATCGCTAAAGTCTTAAGAAAGTAATGTAGGTATAAAGAGTACAATGCAAACTCTTCTTATACTTCTTTCTGTAGAGACCAAAGCGACACATTTTATTAAACTAAAAAAAGAACATGCGTCTACATTTTTTTTACAATAAAATGAAATTTTTCTTTACAGGTATTTGCCCAACGTTTTCACGCTAGCCCTGATTCTTGGAACATGAGGGAAAGTGGATGCGTATTTTCGAAATCAAATAATTTTCGAAATAGAGAACTGGCAGAGAGAGCGAAACATCTGGGACTTTGAGATCTCTCTCCGCATCTTTCGTGAGGAAGAATCTAGCACGAAATCTCAGGAAAATAATTGTTGTTTATTTATCGAGTCAAAGATCGCGGAATCACATTTGGTTTGCCAAAACGATACTTCCGCGGCTTTACCAGTCTTCTAAAACGTCATCGGTTCCGCTAGAATGCGAAAAGATGTTGAAATGAGTTACAGCGAGCAGGTGAGCACATTGCAAAATTTTATTTGTTTATATGTTCATGACGATGAAGTAATATCAAAATTTTCTAAAATACATAAACGCGAATTGCTTAAGGCAGATATTCATTAATAAACTTTTTTCGAACGTGCAAGCGGTTTTCTCAAACATGTCGAATTCAATGAACGATCAGAGAATCGATTTACAATTTGTTTGCATGCGACTATTTGATGCAATTAGGACGCCAAAAAAAAGACTTGGTATTGTAATTCACTTAAATAATTGCTAGGCAAAATTAGCGAGGAGGCAGCGTCAGTGGCGATATTCGCGTGCGGCTGTCACGTTGGCGCATGTTTATTCACGTGCGGCACGTTCGCCGGCATGAAGACATTGAAGTCGCGCACGAAACGACACACGGTACGTCGTCGTTAACGACGCGACACGATTCGTGTTGTGAAGTTTACCAATTAAAACGAGTCGCGACACGAGACGCGTCGAGAAGTATCGAGTTAAAAATTAAGCCGAAGAAGGAAGTCGTTGAGGAAGCCTGCAGCCATATGCATCGAGCAGGGAATTACCGCGGCTTGGTCTGATTCGCGCTCCTCAAGGTTCTCCCGCGAGGACCGGCGTCGTACTCGACGGATCCATCATCTGGCCAACACTGATATTACGCGATCTCGGGACTGAACGACGACTGGCATACCAAGTGCTGAACAGAATCGGCAAACCAGGCTGTTTCAGGTGTATGACGAAGCTCACTTGTTGATGAACGCGAATGCATTGCAATCCCGCGGATTGATTAGCGCGGACGTGCGAAGTTTCACGAACGCGGTCGATCTCTCACGAGGCTTCCCTATCGATTGCCGAAAGGGCGCTCTGGTTCAAACTGGTCCACATTCTCCTCTTACCGGACTAGTCTATCCTGCAAGCTTACGAATTCGATCGACAACGCGAGGATCTTATTAATCTTACGACGGTTTTCATACTATAATTATTATACGCGTCTGCTGATCGTGGTATAAGCTTAATAACCTGCTTCACTCACTTGAAGTACAACATTACGCGATTCTGGTTAGTCGTATATGAAGAAAAAGAGTATTAAGTGTTGTACATAAATTACCTGCATGTAAATTACAATTCCTCGCAACAAAGCTACCGCTTGCAGACTTCTTAATGCTGCGGCTATAGTAGCTACACTCGGTGACACTGAGAAAACTTACAAAATCATTGATAAACTAAACGCAGCACTGCATTATTCAGATATAAAACATACATTTTTAACTTGTGAAAATTATAAATAAAATTAAATAAAAATTTTTAATTTTATATAAAACGTATTAGTCACGTATAATCTGACTTTCGTGAGAAATGACGTAAATTAATTATTATAGTTGAAGATTAATAATTTCAAGGTGTCCACAAAAATTATCAATTAGATTTATTTAAAAAGTAAAAAGTAGATACGTTTTCAAAGGCAAAGTATTGTAAAACTCCATTTTTCTTAACAGACAAAAAATGTTCATGGATGTGTCACATTTAAATAAAATCGTCAAAGAAGAAAAAAGAAACATTCGATTAGATTGATCTTGCGTTCTAAATGAATACTGAATGTATTCATTAACCATTTTTCTGATCGACAGCAATTTATCATGACAGTCGTATTGCACCATTGATAAATTTTCATCTGTTGTCCCCGGGACTCCCGGCGTTATCCAACGTCTTCATCGAGATGGCCATTACGCATCGACGAAATTGCATCTTAACGTCATTTAGCGAGCATTATACGTTTATCTGATCAACGACGGCTGGTATAAATGTCGAATTATAACGTCGCTAAATTTCAGCCGCCAAATTGTCATCAAGGTGACCGTTGTTCGGCGATACACTCACACGCGGCTCGAACGTCACGCTTTCCCGTTCACTCAATGGCGTTAATAACTGTCGGATCGGCAGCGTGGCGCGAGGCCAATAAAAAGGACGCTGCATAGAGCACGGCTCGACGAGAGACATTAGAAATTCAAATCCGACTTGGTTCGCAAGACGGACACCCGGTCCGACCACGCCCCTTATTCATGACCTAAGCGCAAGATCCTAACCGGTTCACGTGCTTTTCAACGTTCAAACCTACCCGGGGATACTCACGCTATCCGGTACTCTATTCGCGCGCACATTCGACTTCTCCTTCGTCGTCCTTCGCGAATCATGCGGGGAGGACGTTTAGGGTTACACGACGATCAATACGCGACGGACTTTATTTGACCGCTGCAATCTCGCGCAATCCATTTTCTTGCGGAATTTTACGTTTACGAGTTTTGCGTCTCATCATGCGTGTCGATCACACGCATAGAAGTTCCCGATAGGACGAGCACGTGAGATATTATAGTTGTCGCAAAGCGAATCGGTCTTTTCAGCTCCGGTTCTAACAATAAGTTATACGTCGATGGCCTGATCGTGATCCCTTGAAACATTTTCTTCTCGAAAAAATCGGGAATCGAAAGGCGGAAACAGATGCAGAATATCCTTAAATCTCTCCTACGCAGCAATATATTAATCGTTGAGAGAACCAGATAATAACAAGTTCATAAGTTTACGATCAAGGATATCAGCAAATGTCGGCAACATATAGTTTAACCGTTAAAAGAGTGTCTGGTTTCGATCATTCTTGAAGCCGATATTGAAACCGATACCGAGGCCGCTTCTCTCGCTGGCTCTCGTCTGGTGAATCGCGCCACGAGTTCCGCGTTAAAGCAAAAAAAAAAAAAGAAGAAAGGATAGTAGTACGCCGTATTTTACGTGCGTTGCTCGAACGATCGAGAGAGGAGACGACACAACGCGTAAACGTTCGTAGAAGCAAAAAAAGTCACAGATGATGTTCGACGAGGTGGGGCTTTGCTCTTCAAGCCGAGAATATATAAATCGCAGGTAGGGCTGAAATTCAAGTTAGTGCGGATACGATCTGAGGCTATCGGCAACCTGCGGGAACAAGCGATGATGCGGGTGAGTCTGCCGGTGATTCATTACTCATGGAACGCTGTTATTGTTCGATTAATTTGCATCTTGTTCGTTTAGCGACGCCGATTTGACATTAAAATACTAGAGACGGAACTCTATATGTTTCTATCAGTTTTCTCTAAAGCGATACTTCTTAAGATTGTCAGTCATATTTGCCGTGCTTCTGCTTTAAAATATAAAATTTCTTTCACACTAAAGATAATTTCTTCATTAATTGCTATCGAAAAACTATCGCGCGAATTACTTTATTCGCGCTTGTACAAATAATGCGATAAAATACAAATAGATCGAAACAGCGCGGGATATATTAATGGAACATTATATTATACGTACCGTGCTGACGTCATGATGTTTTTGTGGAAGATAATTTCATCTTGTTTGTAACTCTATGTCATCATTCGTATGCAACACACAAAATCCGACGGGCATCGTCGTTGCAGATATTATTTCTCGAAAAGTTGTTACGCTGCATATCTTGTCTACGTTCATTCCTCGTCTACGCTTATTTGAGAAACGATAAACAAACGCATGTATCCTGACAATATCGCTCAGTTAAGAAAACAAAACAAAAACGAATATATAGAAGCACCGCCAATTCTATATTTTAATGCTCCTTATGCTTTCCTTCTATTTAAGTGTAAAATCCACATTACTATGCGAATGATGTGTTTCTCAATCTTCAATCTTTTCGCAGGATTTATCATCGTTCACGATTTTCTTCGCGATGGTGGTCGGAACGGCAGTATCGAAACCATTATGGTCGACTTTAGTCGACGCTAATTATTTGTATTCCACGCCCGGAATCGGAATCGGACAGCCGCAATATCTCGCCGCGTATCAGAATACGCATTCCCCCTATTACGTTTACAATGTACTATAACACAGCCGTCGTAAAATACTCGACGTTATCTATATACATGCTTTTTTCAGGTTTATTCAAACGTGGGAGGCATACCGAGCTCTTTTCATGTTAGCGGCAAACCGGAAATCTCTCACATCCCTGCTTACAGCTTCTATTATGGAACACCAATTTACGATATCCGGATTCCATTCAATCCGGTAATTATATCATTTCAACGAGATCACTCAAGCCGTACACTGTAAAAATTATAAGTATGAATGAATATATAGTAACTTGCATTATTCCAGGTTTATCCCGTGCTGACACCATCTCAGCCAGGAGTTCCTCCGGTCCTCCCACCGACATCGACAGAACAATCTTTCGACGAAAACGATTACGACGGCATCGAGAAGTTAGATACGAAAGTTGATCCGGACACAGACGCAAAAAAACCGGAAGATAGCGAGCAGGATGACGATTCCATAACTGTGGAAGCAATATGAGATAATTTTCCTCGTTACGTGCACAAACATAGTATATAGACGTGGAAAGTTAATTATAACACGATAAATGTTCGTTTTTTTTAGTATTACTTTTATATTTATATTGCGTTACGCTATATCCAACATACGTTAAAAAATTCTTTTTGACCAAATTTTCATTAAAAGAAGAGTAATGAAAGAACCGTTACATTTCGTACGTAAGAATAGAGTGCGATATTTGTAATAAAAACTCTAAGATTATGATTTAACTTTATTTATCGTTCCCCCCGTTTCGAATCGCCATTGGAAAACTGGTTAAAGTGATTTGTAAATTTATTAGCAGACATTCTCGTCGATTTTTCATCGCGCGTAGTATCGGAAGAGCTATTCATTAAATCGACAGAATTCGACAGATTTGATATCGCGCCTCTCACAAAGAACAGGATAGCGACGGAGTAACGGAGGATAGCGTCGATAAATCGATCGTTGTTACGAAAAAAAAAACCGTCGAGGTCACTTACCCCGAGAATCCGAGATAAAACGGGGTCAAAGATGATGAGAAGTCTTCGAGTCCATCAGTACATCGATTTCCTTGGAGCGCGCTCGTCGACAATCACGAGAATGATTGTTCGCCATGGAACTACGTTATGGGCGATCGCGACGCTCGTTCTTCTCGCGAGCGTATCACTTTCGGAATCTGTAAAAGTGCGAAAACCACGAAGGAGGATCACGACGAGAGCCCCGTATCAACGGTCCAGGATCGGCCCGGTGATCATAAGAGTGATGCACAAATATCCTGACGACGGTTTCACGAGTGGTGCATCGGTCGGTTGTACTGGCGATAATTGCAGAAATACACACGATAAATTTAATATCGATATTAACGAAGCGATATCTGAGAAGGACAATTTCCTCTCGGACGAGAAATCGTTGCGTTACGTCGTGCATCCGGAGAAATACGAGCATTTCGTGTTGAGAAAGAATACAGGACACGCGAACAGATACAAAAGGGACTCTTCGGGATTACATTCATCGAATGCAAGCGATCATGCAGTGGTTGATCACAGTGGCGATGCGAGAAAATACGTAAATAAAGGAAATTTTACGAGAGTTCCGCTATACAGAATCGACAGATACAAAAGGGATTCTTCGGGATTGCATTCGTCGAATGCAACCGATCGTACAGTAGTTGATTGTGGCGATGCGAGAAAAAACGTAAATAAAGGAAATTTTACGAGAGTCCCGCTACACAGAATCGACAGATACAAAAGGGACTCTTCGGGATTGCATTCGTCGAATGTAACCGAACGTACAGTGGTTGACGACGGCGACGTGATTAAAGCATCGAGAAACGTAAATAAAGGAAATTTTACGAGAGTTCCATTGTACAGAATCGACAGATATACAAGGGATTTTTCGCAACCTTTAAGCCAAGCGAGCAGAACGAGAAGAAGAAGCCTCCCCGTTGACTATTCTTACTCGCGAAGAAACGACAGTTACTACGCGGAACGGAAAGCCGTCATGGAAAGATATTACGCACGGCAGCGTGAGATAAACGCGCGTTACGCTAATCGAACGAGCGGTATACCGCGAACGGAGCACAACGACGTGTCGCAGCATCGTCCGGCGACGAGCAACGCTACCCTGTTCAATCTCGGGCGTGTATACTCGACGGCGAGGGACAGCGTGACTTTCCGTTATCCGTCTATAAAGATCGATCCGATATACAGCAACGAGTCGCGATACAACAAGATACCGACCGAACTGGACAGTCGTCGAAACGTCGAAATCCCGGAAACGGACCTCGGCTTCAAATCCGACGCGGTGGATTTGTCTCAGACGAGGAGCAGCGCTAACATCGAGAGAAACGCGTTGGATTATTTCGTCACACCGACGCCATGCACGAATTTGTCCTCGTCTGGCACTTTCGCGCCGAAAACGAAACTGAAGCACGCTAAAAATTGCACGGGGCAGAACAATGAGGACTGCGATCACGGTTCGACAGATAACGTGCGTTGATACGACTAATGTTACTTCCATACAAATTTCTAACGAATTTTCAATTTCAACATTTTTTCGCACGTTGCCATAGCAAGCAAAATATAGTATATTATGTGTCTGTTTATACGAATTGCGTGCTTTACTTTTTAGGATAACATCGAAGGCAACCTACGATGGGGAAGATGCGAAGGGAAAATCGTGTATCAGCACAACTTGCTCCTAGGATTAACAGGTCCTTCGAATCTTGACGCTCTGTTCGAGGTGATCATTCAGGGTCCCGTCTGCGTCACTTGCGTAGAGGCATTGCGTTACAACGCAACCAGAGCGACGGTCACGTTGGATTCCGGGGGACGCGGGCACGAATACGCGAAGCTCAGGTTACAGGGTTACGAGAACGAAGGATTTTCCTACATAATAAAGGTCTGGGGCATCAAGAAAACTGGTCAGGTTTGCGATAATATAAATTAGTCGAAGTAACGTACGTAAAAATAAGTAACCCAAGTAATACACTATGTCGCGCACGTATAAAAAGTTTTTAATAAAAAATTGAGTTTTTATAAATATATCGATATGTTTTGTGGCACTGTTTTTGTTTATAGTCTTACTTTGTATTAAGCAAGTAATCTCAAGAGGTACAAAACTAACACATAAAATAAATCACGAAAACTTCAAAATTCTCTCCATGAAAGATATCTGCACAAATTAATAAAAATAATCTTGTTTTTTTGGTTCAAATTAGTATAGAAAGTAGCATTAATATAAATAGAACTCTTCAACTTTGTCGAACATCTGCATCGTCATGTAGATTGGAGATCATATGTATATTCAAGCTATTGCAGTCAAAGTTCAATATTGTAGCGTGACCAATGTACTAAATGCCAATTGATTGCACAGCTGCGCCAACGCTCCAACGAGCATTGATTATTCTTCAACATGTGTAACAACGAAGGTCTTTACCTTCTTAAAAAAAAAAAAAAAAAAAAAAAAGAATTAAAGAAATAGGAGAAGGAAACAACCAATTTTTACATGTTTTATCGATGCGACATACCTATATCCGCGCTTGCAACGTTCATAAAAAAAAATCGTGAAGCTTCCTTCTTCGTCCTATTTATCACGATTCAGTTTGAAATACTTCCACCCTGCAAGGTTCTTAAGAGCTCTTCGGTATAGAAGTCGGAAGAGGTGGCGGCGGTACATCCGGTATTTTTTCTCTGTCGCTCTTCGTGCGGGTTCTCTTCTCGTCGTGGAAGCTCGGTAAAAGGTGACCGGAATCGGCGTTCCTCGGCGTGGTGGCCGGGATCGGTTCCAGGGACTCGTAAGGTTGGTAGTCGACATAGTAAGTGCCGGGCACGAGATGTGGATTGAAGCCATTGTACGTGTAGATGTACGGTTCGTAGAAGAGGGAATGATAGTTCGGGTAGAAGCTCAACGGCACCTGCTCGTTCTTCTTCGCGGAGTTCGTTCTCGTACCGTCGTTCTTTGGACCGTTCTCCTTCGCACGATGGTCGGCGGTGGTCGCGCCTTCGCGCTCCTTCGCGACACCGAAGCTCGTCGACTCGGCTAGATGAGACGTCGAGGAGGAGGCGTGCGCTTGATCGTTCCCGGTCGCTTTACCAGCGGGGGCGAGCAGCGGATAATGCACCACTTCCGGCCCGGCAAAGTGAGGCGCTATCTGCGTGTAATAGAACGGCGGCACGTAGCCGACGGCGGTTCGATGGATGATCGGTTGTATCACAGGGAACGCTCGCGACGGCGACAGATTCTGATTGCTCGTGATCACGGCATTGTACACCTTTGGTACCTTGAGCAGACCCGGCGCGGCAAACGCGACGGTAGTGAACACGCACAAGATTAGCAGCTTCATCTAGAAGAAGAGGTACTGCTATTAGACCTAGTAAATTTATTTTAACATTGGCACTGAGTTCATAGTAAGGATTTCAATTTACATGTAAAAACAGAAGGATTCTACGTGATATTTTGTACGATTATTATTATTTAATTAGAGTGTATATTGTTCTTTTTAATAAGGAAATGATCGAAAATATGCGAAATAGAGAACAATGCCGTGAAAAGATGGGAGTGTTTCTATGGAAGTAACTGACACCATTATTGTTTCTGAAAAAGTAACCGATACCGGTGGCGCAAGTGCCTCGCGTGTGAGCGCGCAAAACGCCGCATACAAACGATCGGAAAGCCACGTGCACGGAATGTTATCCCGGTCGTGCTCATAGGTGTGTACTCGAGATTGAATTATCGCATCTAAATTCCTATCGTGTTTGAAGTTCAAGCTCCCAGAGTGATATAGCTGGTGAAGCGTTACAAAGCCATGGAATCAAATGATTATTATATCGTGCGTTAATTTCAATCTCGTTGTATCACATCTGTTATCGTTTTATAACATAGATAGTTTTTAATAAGAAAAATATAAAGGATTACTCTGTAAACAAAATTGCAATAAAAAACCGACAAACCGAAATTTTAATTTCTTTGCCTAATGTCTTACAAGGAAAATATTTTGCGAGATATCTATGCAGATTTGTGTTCTGTATTACATTAAAAGCACATATTAGACCGATAATATATCTCTCGTATCACATGTTATAGCCAACCGGAAATGAAGGTAGAAAGGGTTGAAAGGTATATGACTAAAGCTTGTCGATTTCACAACATGTGGCGGCTGCCTGTCAGCGAGTAAGCGAGTTCACGAAGACACATGGCATTGCACAAATGAATCACCTCATCAGCATTCGCGGCTTCGCGGTGTCGGTGATTTGCACGTATCACTTCCTACCTCCGATAGACCCCACGGTCACGTTCGCCTTGTCGTATCGGCTCGTCTTCGGTTCTATCGGAGTTACGGTTAGCGGAGCGGCGCGGAACCGCTTCGTGTACTCACCTTCGCGTCGCGCTTATCAATCCTCTGTCTCCTGCGCGTTTCCTGTACGGCGGGGAATCCGCGAGAAGCTGACACCACAAGTAGCAAGAGCGCTGCATGGGCCCGTAGTATATATGGCCCATGGGGTTCCAGGGTTCACGTCCCGCCTCCCCCACTACGGTCGACTCTCGGCGAAAGTACTCTCCGATCGCTACTATAATGTCCAACTTCGGACCAGCCTATATCACCGGTAGAACTGTAGAAGGACAGCCGTTTGCGATATGTCTCCTTCGCCGGTGCGATCGAGTGCAGCGTACGAGCGAAACGATTCCTGGGACGACACGCACGTCTTCAGGGAAGTCATTTTTTAAATTCGCGTACACGCCCGGATAATTTAATGTCCGAGTAACAGACACGCCATTCTTACATAAAATCCGGATTCTTCCGCTACACTGAATTATGGAGAAAAGATGAGACAGAATTTTAATTTATTATGTAATATTTATATTTTAATTATATAAAATTGTCAAGCTTCACTGTTACCACTATTATATATTATATATATCTCTGGTACGCTACAATATTTACGCGGATCAAGTTTATGCGAAGAACGAAAAGTATATAAAAAAAAGTAAGAACTCTCTATACTCTATATCTCAATATGTACATGGACCATTGTCAATCATTTCTAATATAGAGTAACAAATACTGAGTTTTATTTTCGCGAGGTATGCAATCAGAAAACAAAGTGGCACGTTACTAATCATTCTTCCCAGCGCCGTTCCAAGTTCATAAATAACTCGATAATAATGTATCGATTTCGTCCATCGCACAAAGTAGTTCACCTTGCCGGCTCTCAATTCGCCTTCTAATTACGGATTTTTTATGACAGTTGCTGTATGCACTTGTCCTTGAAAGCAACACATACGGAAATGTATGCGACAGAAGATATATATTAGTGTTTAAAAAGCCCACACTAATCGTGTCTCTTTTTGCACAGCGCATGATGCCAATTTATTACGAAATGTTATTATTGCTACCGTAACTTTGTACAATGCTGTTTACAATAATTATCCAAACGCGATCATTACTAATAAATTGTACTTGATGAAATTTAGCTTGTCGTAGGAAACTGATTTTCGAGCAGATACGTATTCGAAATAAAAAAAAATCCACAATTCTTGATGTCTCTCATGTGATGAACGCGTCCCGTTACGCGTTTTACCGTTGTAGTTACTAACATGCAAGTAAGCGAAATACGAACTACGAAACGCTGATGTGAACGCTTGGGAAAGGATTTTTATGTAAATCGTGCCGCACATTCAAAATTCCATGTACGCGCATATGTATATCGGCCGCTCTCACGCAAGACACACAGAGCAAGAAGAGCGTCTCGTTGGAATTCATCGTACATAACTTGGTAAGCCAACACGCTGGAATATCAGCATATATACACGTGGAAGCGCGCAAGCATCGCGAGTCCCTCGTATAATCGTGACGCCTCGCATTATTCTTTGTTTGACGAACGCGCGCGTTTGATCGCTGGTCCGTGTGTGTTGGTGCACGCCTATGTCAATATATCCGATGACTGTGATAACAAAACCGAGCTCTCGGCTCAGTTCCATACTCCACACAGCATCGTAATAACGGGAATATAAACGCATTTACGCTGTTACGAATCGTAACAATATAAAGCTAATAAATACTTAAAACTACGTGAGCAACTGCATGGAAACCTTAATCGAAATTCAAAATCGCGCGCCAGAATTCGCGATTGCTCGCGCATTAATTTTGATTATTCTCGAGTTGCGCGCAACGTTACTACTTAATATATACGCGCTACGTTATAAATTGTTTCGACTACGCGTCGCGACAAAGATAACGTAACAACAGCCACATCACACACACATACACCTCAAGACTGTGTTCGGAAATGTCACCCGAGTGCCTTCCGCCGTGTATCATTTTAGTGCATCAACATTTAATGAGAAAGATGAAATGATTACACGGGGACACTCGAATGACGTTTCCGAACGCAGCCTGACGTGACAAATTCGATAAATCGCCGACCGATAAAACGATCGACGATTTAATTTTGGTCAGATCGATTCGATCGGTATGTAACAGATTCGCCGCAGCAGCAAGATCGGGAAATTCGGGAGGAAGACGATCATCAGTAACACCAACGGCGACAGCAACAGCAAAATGTTGGCGTACACCACCAGCCACCAGATCGACAACGTTCCCAGAACCGGCTCTAGCATTATGATCCTCCGACGGTCAAGAGGTCGTGTACACGAGTATAAAAACACGAGTGGGAGCGAGGTACTCGTGAGTGTTCCGAGCTATCCGGTTTTACGAAGGTAAAACACTCCCCGATCATGCTCGGTCTTTCATCGTCGGTACATTCCGAGGGATGCGCTGAAAGCAAAGGAAAATCTTTTCAAGTATTCCGCGCCCTTTTTCTTCTGTAATATATTATATATATCGTCGCACAGAACGATTGAGAGTTTATTAAAAGAACTTGATGCGAAGAAAGTGTTCAACACATTGTGTGTACACTTCGTGAAATCTTTCATCGATAACTTCGCCTTATCTTTCATCGATATATGATAATTCGAATGTAAAGACATAATTATATATATAGTTATGCAATTGGATGTCGAGATGTTTTCGTACTGAGATAGCAATTAATTTAAACTATGTCATCGTGTAGATTTGTAAAGCAAATTAAAAGGCGCGTTACCGCACGCATTGGTAAAATTGCTAAGTTATCTAACCAAACGTAGCAGAAAATGATGTGCCAATTGTTACGTCAATCCACTCTAGTGCACCACTTTGATAGCTATAATAATTATGCAAGAATTTCGCAAGTTACTCATTATATTTGCATAACGTGCAAAAATTATTCGACAAAAAAAATTATGAAAAATAGTTCTGCAAATTGACTTGTCCTAAATTCTTTTTTAGGAAATAGTAAGAATCTACCAATATTTTTCTTTGCTTCATTTGTTTCTCAGTCAATTAAAAAAGAAATGAAAAGAATAAAAATAAGTAGATTGACAATATTGAAATGATATCTTAAAAAGCTATACGACGTGATAAATTTAGTAACAGCACGCGAATTCGTGAGAGAGATATGCTCTTTCCTCGTAGAATTCGCAGTGATTTCTCTCTCTCTCTCTCTCTCTCTCTCTCTCTCTGCCTGTCTCTGTCGCTCTCTCTCTCTCTCTCTCCCTGCCTTACTCGTTCTGTCGAAACTGCGCGAGTGTCCTTGTATCAAAGATACTAGATTTATCTCGACAGAATTGTTGGGCAAGCTTGTGAAGCAATGCGAAATCAAAGACGATAGAACTATGTTTTGTGTGTGTGTGTGTGTGTGTGTGTGTGTGTGTGTGTGTGTGTGTGTGTGTGTGTGAGAGAGAGAAAGAGAAAAGAAGAAAAAAAATAAGAAAAGAAAAAGAGAATGAGAAAATGTTTAATGCGAAAAATTATTGCAATCTCCGCGACGTATGTACACGTAATGCAGCGGAGAAGCATGGTCGCTCGCATGCACCAAACATATTGCATCGAGAAAAGTGAAATTTTCACAATTGCATAAGAGCTATATAATACTAGCGTTCAGTGCGACGTCATCGTGTAACGCAATCTAAGTGCGCGATGTAATGTCAATGATCAAGCGTAACAAGATAAGCGGTCTGTATTTTGCACCGGCTCAGTTAATTGCGAATTACGTAAACGCGCTACCTCCTCAAATTGGAGCACCTAAAGCTTGAGCAAATAACGCACATATTTTGTCCATTTCATAATACGTTCCTTTGCAACAAGAAATTAAACGAAAAGGAACGATAAGGCGTGTATACATGTCGCTGTATTATCTATTTAATCTATTAATTACTTATGACCTTTTGTTTTCATTATATGAATTGAATTAAATGTTTAAAAAATCAATAAAATATCCACATCATAAATTCCTTTGTACGAAGAACCACATTTATCAATGTGACAGTTGTATACAACGTAAATCCTATATTATATCAACTGCAAAGCGCTTACGTCAAATCACTTTTTACTTACTCCAAATCTGTCGTGAGAATGTGCAGTGTATATTCAACGGAGATTGGGGATCAATATAAATTTTCATGAATATGGAGATAACGAAGCGACAAACACACAGATCTGTGTTTACTCGCAATAACGCGCGATGAATAGTGTACATATAATTACATTTAAACTGCGAGCAAAACGAAATACATATAGTAATGGATGTATTCTAAAGACGATCTCTAGGTGAAGTCGCTCGGTCACATTGCCAAACTTAATTTGATTTAACTCGAGTCCCTTCCCGGAGTTTAAAACATTGGATTTTTGATCAGTAAATTGGTCAGCGACTGACAGTCATCTCAACAGGGCGCGATGGCATTTTTTACGCTACCTGCCGCTATCTCGATAGCTTCCAAGCTGCGCGTCACGGCATTCGCGGCAGACCGCATCGCATCAGGCAAGACCACGATGCGCTCTTATCCTCTCGCGGTGCGTGCACCGAGATACATCCGCGATGAGCGGACATACGCCGATGGGATGCCGCCAGTACGGAAGCTCGCGAGTTGGCATATGTACGCACGCACGCACGCACTCCGTTTATTTTTTCGCGATTTTTTTTTACGACTTTAAACTATACGCCGCTACTTCTTTTCTTTTCGCTCGCGCGGGAGACTTCGAGATAGCTCGCGCGACGCGACGCGAGCGGGCGCACGCTCGCTTTCTGTGGACTGAGAGCGCTAAAGTTCGCGGCCGGTCTACAGCGGACTTTCCCTTTCTTTCGGCTCTTTGGAGACCGGCGGCGCCGGTGTGTAATACCGGGACGGGATCGGCCGCGTTAAAGTCGCCCGATTACTACATACGAGCGGCGCTGAACCGCGCCGTGGTGCTCCGCCGCACCGCACCGCACCGTCATGCCGCGTGCTGTGCCGCATGAGGATCACGCACACGCTTGTACTCGTCAACCCGATGGCATTGACGGGTTTCCCGCACCGCGCTCGTCCTGTTCCCTTGGTTGTTGCTCAACGAACGCGCGAACAAAGAACCTAACCAGCTGGCAAGGAGTGGTCGTATAGAATGCAGCGAACAAACACCGCAAGATACATGCTATTTCGATATCTTCGACATGGGCAATGAACGCGAAACTTTATTCGATTTTCCCTGTATAAAAAATTAGCGAAACAGATGTGACAAATTATCTTTTTTTTTTTTTAGAAAGAGAGAAGCGCAACGAGCGATGAGAGGTGGTGTAAGAGGCTAAGAGTTTTTTTTTTGGAGTCTACAATTGCGGTCAAGGCTCTATGTCCTTCGGATTCTGTTCTATGTCAAAATCTTACACGATAAATGTCATTTCCATAATGATTTCTCATAAAATATTTATATTAATTTTTTTATGTACATATAAATATTCAATTCATGTTGGAGATTCGAAGACTAAACGCGAGGAGCTCCTATTCCCCTCCTCTTATCCCCGATATATTAATTTAGAATTTGATAAAAAAACGCTAATTCTTCGTGGCATTTCTAAAAATCGTCCATAAAAATAATTTTTTTTCTAGTTATCGATCAGGTCTGTCGGGGACGTAGAAAGGCTGAAAATCGTATGAGCAAATAATAACCTATATGCAGCATGATTATTCGCATTATTTACACTTCGCCTCCTGCCCCTCCGCCCCTATTCACAATATGTGCGCATCGCATGGAGACATATATATGTATAAAACGTGACATACGTGTCGTAAAAGGCATACAGTAATTATCATCTGGTGGAATGTCGACGATAACACACAAGTAATTAAGATATTCTACGTACAGAAAAAATTCCAAGAATAAGAAATCTTTCGCATGTGTGTCTACAAGGTGTACGTCGAGAGATTAAAATGATTTAATTTTCCAATCGAATAATCCGGATGTCGCATATCGGAAAATGACGTGCTGGTGAGAAACACGCGAAAAACTGAGCACATTTCGCGATAAACGATTCGAGCGATTTAACCTGGCTCCAAACCGATCGCGCGCGCGGCGCGACGCTCGCTTTTGACGAGGGGAACGCGTCCGTGGTTCATCGCACTCGCACAAAGATGACCTTCGGACGAGGCTTCGCTCGCTCGCCGATGATGCGCCGTGTTAATTGGAGCAGCGCGTCTCGTTCTCTTTTGGCGACTTCTCTTTTCAACGCCGTACAATTCCGATAATTAAATTAAAATAATGTAATGTAAATTTATCACAGCTGGAGCAGACTTATTATTAGTCAAGTCGAAACGTCCTGCTTTAATATTGTCAAATTAAAGATATGATTATATTATAATATTTCTTACTTACTCGTTTTATTTCAATTCCCTTTCATTTCTAAAGATCAAAGAAATTTTACCGCACGCTCCGTCCAGTACATACGTCCAGTATGTGTACTACACGTCGATGATGTCATCTGTTTGATTATCTCGTTAGATAGATCGTCGATGCTGTCCGGTTGATACATTCATAGTCTGTCGATAAAATTATCTCGCTACTATCTACCATACCGATACAGTTCGAATCTGCCGTTAGCGCGCCATCCTCTATGCGGAGAATCTGTGAATTACAAGGACGTTGAAAATGAAACGTCTGGGATGCCAAGGCAACACTCGCGTCATCTGTCACGATAAATAATAAGTTCGTTATTCAAATATATTGTGATTGGACCTAACAAGTGTTTTCTACACAAATTTCATTATTTACATTTATACGAACACCCAAATCTGATTAAAAATATTTTCTTCTTATTATTTTGTACTTTTTGTCCATAATTATATGTGTATGCATCAATAGGCTGTTAATGTATATACATAAAAAACGATTTTACCGACGTGCTGATGAGATATTTAATCATGAGGCACACCCTACATATATAAGGCTAAATTTTAGATATGCAAATTAAATATCGAAGATGCTTTAAAAATTATTCCCATTTATGAAGATATTATTTAGTCTATACGTGATCGTTATTATAGCGTTGCCTGTCAAATTTTTTTAGAGAGAGAACACGAAATTTTCTGATAACGTCACTGAACGAAATACAGAGAAAATGCGACGTATTAATTAGCATGAGATATTATACGATTTAGTTGCAGCCTAGCCCAAGTCAAATTTAACTAAATTTTTTGCGTCTACATTGCGGATGTTATCTCTGTTCCATGATGACAACAAGAAGACGTGTTTAAGGAAAGATCACGATATTCGAGTTAACTAACCTAAACTATATCTATGTGAAGGGCCACGTAATATTAAATGGCGATCAAATAATTTCTCCATGGATGTTTTTAGAACGTACAATAGAAGTTCGATTTCCAGTACCATACGAAAAGAGAAAAAGATAGACACAAACTACATACGCAATTAGAAAAATGATGTGAAATAAGTGAATGTTTCCACGACTACCCAGACTTCGTGATATTAATCTAGTCTGTAAAGGAATTTTTATGTTGAAGATCTTATCGTATTTTTAGAGAACGCTTCGAAAAATAAATCTGAGATATCACGAAGCTTCCTTATATTTTATCAATTAAGCTTTCTTTTGGAAAAAGATGCTAAGTTGAGTTTCGGTTTTTTTTGTAATTTTCATTGTAATAAGACTAATAAGTACTGTATTGTACCTCTGGTATCAGAATAGCGTTTGCTAAACCTGTTTCATGCGTTTGCTTAAACAAGATTTATTCCTGGGAAACTTGAGATGTTTCTAATCGGAATTTCAAACATGTAATTTGAGGAGACTATCGCTTCATATTAATCACTATTATTCTACGATTAAAAATAACAAATGAAAAAATTTTATCCACATCTAACGCTACTAAATTTCATTTAGTAAAACTACCAGCTACGACGGACAATGAAAAATCCTGTCAATTTTGATCAAATATCGATAAAAAAATAGAATGATTAAAATGGACAATTTAATTCTAAATACTTGATCAGTAAAAATAATTCTTTTAATACTGTCCTAATGAATATTTAAATGAAACGATTTGATTTCTCCTAAGCGTAATTCTGAAAATAAGTTTTTCAAGTTATTGCGAGATCATATTCCCTCGTACATAATAATTTGGGGCCCTGAAAAGGGCCAGTTTTTATCAGTAGCAGTATCAGAAAATTATTTTTTTCCTGCTTTTCCGGTCTTTGTAGCTGCTGCCTTAGTGGTTTTTGGTTTGGGGGTCTTGGTTTTTGCGGCCGGAGCTTTGGTAGCTTTCTTGGTCTTAGACAAACTCTTGGTCTGCGCAGCAGCCTTTTGCTTGGCCGCGGCTTCGACCTTCTTCGCCGCCGCGGTTTTGGCGGTCTTCTTTGCGGATGCCGACTTCTTTTCAGCCGTTGTCTTCTTAGTCTCGATTACTTTCTTCGCAGGTGCCTTTTTCGTAACCTTTTTCTCGGTAGTCTTCTTAGTGTCAGAGCTCGACTTCGGCGCGGCACGCTTAACCTTACTAGCCTTTGGAGCGGGCTTAGTCGTCGAGAGCTTGAACGAACCCGATGCACCTTTTCCTTTTGTCTGCACCACCGCACCGGACGTTACCGCTGCCCTCAGGTATCTCTTGATGAAGGGAGCAAACTTCTCGCCGTCGACCTTGTAAGTTGAGGCGATGTACTTCTTGATAGCCTGCACGGACGAGCCCTTGCGATCCTTCAGCTCCTTGATGGCAGATGTGACCATCTCCGAAGTCGGCGGATGATTCGATTTCGGGCGTTGAGTCTTCGCTTTAGATTTCGCACTCTTCTTCGCAGGCTGCGCAGCGGATGCGTTTTCCGTAGCCGCAGCATTAGATGCGTTCTTATCCTCCATTGCGATATGCGAGAGAATTTGCGGACGTTCAAAGACGAAGTACAAATATAAACTTTCGTTCTAAACGCTCACAGAGATGACGCTATTTACGAAGAGCGACTGGCGCGACGCGCGACTTGTACTGTGAGCGCGGACCATGGAGAGAGACCCTTCCAATGTTGCAGGTACCGGGCTACTGAGAATGAAAGAGCGCCCGACAGTTGTTCATTGTTTAAACAATATTTTGCACAATAAAGGTCACTCGTTCGCCACTCGGAATCGTAGAAGCAAGTAGCTAGTTTTATTTCCTATGCATTTCAACGGCCGTTCGCGCGACTGGCATCGATTTTTTCGCAGTTCCGTGAGATGCGCGCATTCAGTTCATTCGCGAGGCTCGATTCAATCCGAGAAATAAGTTAATAAATAATATAATTATTAATGCACGGTGCACTTATGCCGCTCACGGAACGTCGTGATAGCTGTGCTAACTGACCGCAAGCGTTTACTTCGGGCGAGGCACCAGATACGCGCTGAATAATCCAAGTTTCGCGGGTGGCAGAATACAAGCGTTAGTGCAACACAAAGTGAATACCGATTACAAAGTACATTTGCAGACAATTTTACGAAATAGTGTAAAATGTCATTATTGACCGGGAGGGGCACGGATATAATTGGGTTGCAATATTATATGCATAATTGTGAAATTCGTTCGAAGAATATCATATATACGCGGAGGCAGCCTCTCATAAGACGCCGATTGCCTCCGTGCGGTTAAACGTTACTGTTATGACGATCCGTATGACAAGATAACGAAATAACCCATAGAGTCTCGTATTGACGAAAAATAATGTTCGACGACATTAAAATGATTGTGGCATGATCGTTTTATCAAAATTCGCAAATATCAAGCGCAATTTAATAATTCATAATTCATTCCTAATCCGCGACCTGTTAAGGCAACGTAAAAACCGTGCCGTAACCTAATAACATTTCCCAGCAATCAGTTCCACAGACGAATACGAATATTTCTACATCTTCAAATCGAAATTGATAACGTACTCGAATTCTCGTTCCTGCGAGTTTATAAAACAATTTTTTATATCGGATTTGTATCCGAATAATGCCTCGAGGACTCTTATTCACAGCGCGCTGATTAAGACCTCTCGTGCGTAACGACGCATTACTTAGATTAGTATTTCCAAAATAATGACGTAGGCATATTTTTTCTAATGTTTTATAATTTCGTTGAATTTATATGAAAAATTAATCACTCTAAGTGCAAATAATACACATATTTTACAATATTATCTATATTTTAAAGGACTCGTACTCCTACTCCTTCTCGATTAAGCTAAAATGCGCGGCTTTATGAAGAGTTTATAAAGTTTGTTTATAAAGAATATAAACTTTATATTATAGAATTTAGATGAGAGAATTTGTGTTTTAAATACAAATTAAGATGCGCTATTTAATTCCATAATTTTATTATGTAATCTTCAATGTGTCTTTACCTGTCTCATTTTTTTGTAACGTTATAAGTTACATTCTTCTATCTTACAATATAATTTTGTAGAACTTTCTATAGTTATTCAATCTATTTTACAACTAATAGATATACAATAAATATATTTAGTTAGTATATATATTTTTATTATTACTATGATATATTATTACATAAATATGTATTTACATTTGCATAATTAAGCAAATATTAATGTTTACAGAAATTTAGAATTATACATATTTCAAACGTACTTGTATTTGTTACATTTAAAAGCAGAAGCATGCAAAAAAATATTTTTTAAAAATACAGATGTAACACTCGTACATATATGTATAAATGAGAATACCTGATCGAATAATAGCATCAAAAATAAAATAATATTACAAGCTACGCTTCATTGATTTTTGTTTTATAGGTTAGCGTGTACGTCTAAAATAGTTTCGTGATCATCTCTCTGATAACAATATACCTGTAATGAAGATTTAATTAATTTCTTGGCATACAGTTTCTAAGAATAATAACTTAGTCGGCGTTGTTTACAATCTCTTGAAAAATGTACGTCTGAAATTATGCTTGTGCTAAACAAGTACGCTCTGCATTGTACATCAAAATTTTATTTCTATGAAGATGCTGCAATAAATTATTTATTTTGCCATTTTTTATTGCTTAAAATGAAGAAGAAAAAATAAACTTAATGGTACATAATATATATTTTAACTGATTGTGAACAGATATTTCTCACATTAATTTTACATAGGATATGCATCTATTAAAAAAATTAAAAAAATATATTTTAATGTAATATATTTTATTGGAATTTCCAACAGATAAGTAAAATTTAAGCTAATAAAAGACATAGCCCAACACAGATTATAATTGCAATATTGCCGCAATATTGCAGGTATATCTGTGTTTGTGATGAAAGCATATTAACATTTCAATGTTTCTTAATAATAAAAAATTATCAATAAAAATTTTTTAGAGAAATGTATACGGACTAAAATATTTTATTGTATAAGTGAGAAAAATTCATAGTTTCAAACTAGATCGAAAATATTTTATTTTACGCAGATAATTATTAGATGTGTTCATATTTTTCATTTGCTTCTGCTAATTTGTCTCAATTTTTATAGAGTAATCTAATTAATTTTGAGATTTTGTTTAATGGGTTATATTTAATATATATAAGGATTACGTAATATTTTATGTTCAAAAATGAATATGAGTAAACATAGCAAATATTTAATAAAAAATGAAATTGACTCAACGATCAATATTCATATCAAATACGAATACTAGAGTGTTAGATTTATAAAATCAACTGTAACAAATTGTTGTGTACTTTACGTATTTTTGAAAATTAAAATGCAAGATTCAAATATTTAAATTTTTGTTCGCAGAACATAAACGGACATTCGTTACTCACTTTATAATTATTAAAATTACGCTTACTAATGAATTGGATATTCAAGCGGAATCACAGTTTGCAAGTTTCTAAATTAAAATCATCTCTTGCATCAAACATTTTAATGTATTTATGCAATCGGTGTCAGTAAGCAACAGCATTTTGTTAAAGATTCTAATTCCATTAGAAAAATATGTGAAAATTAATAAATATACACAAATTGTTTCTCATCATTTTTTTTTCCACGTACTCTTCGTACGTTTTTTACATCCTCGTACGCTATACGTTATTCGAGGGATAACTTCTTTAGAAACATTGTGGTGGTCGGTGGAGTCGCCGGAAAAGTAAAACGTGTGTGATGCGCTGCGCCGGCTGCGTGCGCTGCAGCTACACTTGCATTTCCCCACCACTGAGACGGCGACCAATTACCGTCGAGCCGGCTTCTGTCGAGGCTCTATAAAGACGGTCGCGAACTGGCCAACGCTCAAATCTGCTTCAGACCTGACTACGTAGTGTTGTATTGACGTTCTGTTCATTAGCAGTTTAGGAAGATGGCTCGTACGAAGCAAACCGCACGTAAATCCACCGGAGGAAAGGCTCCCCGAAAACAACTGGCGACCAAAGCGGCTCGCAAGAGCGCGCCTGCCACAGGTGGAGTAAAGAAGCCTCACCGTTACAGGCCTGGAACGGTCGCACTTCGTGAAATCCGTCGCTATCAAAAAAGCACAGAATTGCTGATTCGTAAACTGCCGTTCCAGCGTCTCGTCCGCGAGATCGCTCAGGATTTCAAAACTGACCTTCGTTTCCAAAGCTCGGCCGTTATGGCATTACAGGAGGCTAGCGAGGCTTATCTTGTTGGTCTATTCGAAGATACTAATCTCTGCGCTATTCATGCCAAGCGAGTGACCATCATGCCTAAAGATATTCAACTGGCACGTCGTATTCGCGGAGAGCGAGCTTAATTAAAAAAAACAATATATCGGCCCTTTTTAGGGCCACCAATTTTTTTATACGAAGTATCATCTCTTTTGCTTATAAGTCAATTTTATTTTCACGTTATATTTAACTTCGAATAGTTTTAGAAAACATTTTTTCTTAAATTTATTATTAAAGTACTTAAAATGTTAAAAAAAATTGAAAAGAAATTTAATAGTAGTTCAGGTGATTAGTACCAATTCATGTCGCATGGACGTATGCATTTCTTAATGCGATATGCGTGGCAATTTGCATTTTTTACAAAATTGATATGATTTTTTTTAAATTTGAAGAATTATTTGATACAAATTAAAGTTGTACGCATACAAATAAGTATATGTATACAAAACTAATGTATTATAGCTTTTTAATTACAAAAATAACTTCTAGCAGCCTCTGAACTAAAATATCTCATTAATGTTTCATATATATTAATATCAATATTGTATATAAAATTTGCTTATTAAACTATTTCAGATAGTACGTATGCAATTATGCATGTCCCAAATCGAGAATAAGGGGCGTATCTTATGCTTGATTTTGAACATGCATACTTTGGATATTACATTAGGGTCGAAAACTTATTGAGCTAAATTGTGGCAATTGAATTCAATTCACATTTTTAATCTTCTGTATTAATATTTATTATAACTATCTAAAAAAGTTATTTTTTTTTTAATGACGAATATAACTTATTCTCAATTGGCCGTAACAAAGGACTTATGAATCTGATCTAACTCACATGTCAAAGCACGTCAAAGTTATATTGCTTGTGAAAATACCAGTTTTATTAAAAATTATTAATTCTGATTCTTGTATCTCTATACATACATATAATTTTATAACTTTACGCGCCGCACCTTAACCGACTTTATCACAAGTCTGACGTGACCGTCACATTTGCTCATAACCTCTATAACCTCAAACTTTCACATATACGTCTTTTATAAACTATCACATATATGTCTGTTCAATTCAATCGATATATTCGATAATTTATTTACCTTCAATGTAATTTTATCAAATTTTGCGTAAATACATTTCCAATAATCTATCAATCATTATGTATGTACACATTGTATTATATATATATAAAAAATACTTATGTACATAAAGCATGGGAAGAATGATAAAAATTTTTCTATATTCATATTCTAATAGCAGTATTAAAATCGTTTTAGAATAGAAAAAAATTTAAATTTTATATTGGGAAATTCCAAAAATGTAAAATATGAAGTGCTTATATTTATAAAAATTGAATCAGTTATTTTTATAGCAAACTATTTTCTTGAAGAGATTAAGGTACGTAAAATTCAACTTATAATTTGCAAATTTGGAACTTTGAATTTCAGTAATTTCCTTATATTAAACTTATAGAATATATATGGGTATAATATACAACAAACAGAAATTGTTCAAACGCTTTAAAATTTTTGTGGCCCTGAAAAGGGCCGATTTAATTTGAACGAGTCCAGTTCCTCGCTTAACCGCCGAAGCCGTATAGAGTTCTGCCTTGACGCTTCAGGGCGTACACGACGTCCATGGCAGTCACGGTCTTCCTTTTCGCATGTTCGGTGTAGGTTACAGCATCGCGAATAACGTTCTCGAGAAAGACTTTCAACACACCACGTGTTTCTTCGTAGATCAAGCCGGAAATACGCTTGACACCGCCACGTCGCGCCAGACGACGGATAGCCGGCTTGGTGATACCCTGGATGTTATCGCGAAGAACTTTCCTATGACGCTTCGCTCCTCCTTTTCCCAATCCCTTTCCTCCCTTACCGCGACCAGTCATCTTGAGTCACTACGAGAATCAACTAACGCACAACGTACGATACCGAGAACGTTCAATGTAACGATGTAAGTGAGTAGTGACGAGGCTAGACCCTACTGTGAGGCGCTTTTATACCGTTCCGAGTCGGCTTCTCCCTTCCATGTTGACATTAGCCAATCAGAACGCTCGCCCAGTTTCTCGCTCTCACACGTACTCAACCGTGTGCCAGTGTGCAATCAACAAAAATATTATGTACATTGTTTTTCATGTGAATTGTCCAGCCACTTAATATGCAATGTAGAAAGTATACATATTTATGTATACCTTGCATATTTGATTTTGATAACAGTCGCGATCATAGCGTAGAGTTGCGCGTCTGCATTCTACGTCAAAGATCCAGAATTCAGAACCGTTCAGAACATATATTAGATTTTATTTTATTGTTACCTTTCGGAAGACAATTTAATTCAGATGTATACATATTTAAAAAAGACATCTAACAATAAGAGCTGTCATAAAGTTGTCTTTCAATGATGCGTGTTGTTTGGAAAACCATTAGTATATTTGTCATAAGAACTTTTTCTAATAGGCCATTCGAAATCGAACGTTAAATTAAAACTGTAGATATACATATTTGCGGAAATATGCAGAGAATTTACCATGTATCTGATAAGCGAACTAAGATTCCGATAGATATCTGCAAGAAGCATGGAAAGAAAGTATAGTGTGTGAGAAGATTAAATTTTTCCATCCATGGTTTATGATTAGGCATAAATATTCATGCCTGATCATATTGGAATATGGATAAAGGAGAATTTTTCTTCTCACGTACATTATACTTTTTTTTTGTATAATGTGAAGAAATGCCTAACAATCCATTCAATGGTACACAGACCAAGTCTGTGTCTCTAACAATTATGCATAAATCTCGATTGCCTTTTTAAGACAATTCAGTACTAATCTCTATTCTTGTGCGCAGTGCGATGAGCTGTGCGACAATTTCATTATTTGGATTTAACACTTACATTACTATTTAAATTATATCAGTAGCACACAAAGAATAGCAATACCATTACTAAATAAAAATACTTTTTCTTACAGAACCCTGAAAATGTGCAGTCATTGTCTAATAATAAAGTTAAACCATATTTTAATCCCAGTATATTAATAAATGAAATTAAAAGAATGGAGTTCAGTGTATATTCAATGTAACTGCCTGCTAAAGAAGTTAAAAAAGAAAACTTTACTTGAAAGAACGAGGGAGCGAGAGGGAATGTGAGTAGAGCTTGGCAACACGAGTGCCGACCAATGGCGTTGCAGCAAAGCAGGAGCGAGCGCTGCTCGCACGTGATTGGTGTGCTGCTGCTGACACTTTTCGCTATATAAACCTGTGTTTGAGATTCGCCAGCGGTTAGTTTGCCTCGAGTTCTGTATTCGATTCAACGTACGAAAGTCTCCTGCGAGAGAATTGATCATGCCACCTAAAGCTAGCGGCAAAGCGGTGAAGAAGGCCGGAAAGGCTCAAAAGAACATCAGTAAAACTGACAAGAAAAAGAAGAGGAAGAGGAAGGAGAGCTATGCGATCTACATCTACAAGGTATTGAAGCAGGTTCATCCTGACACCGGAATCTCCAGCAAGGCTATGAGCATCATGAATAGCTTTGTTAACGATGTATTCGAGCGCATCGCGGCTGAAGCATCACGCCTGGCTCACTACAACAAGCGCTCGACAATCACGTCTCGGGAGATCCAGACTGCTGTAAGGCTTCTTCTGCCCGGCGAATTGGCCAAGCACGCTGTTAGCGAAGGAACAAAGGCGGTTACCAAATACACGAGCTCGAAGTAAACTGCTATTACCAAAACGGCCCTTTTCAGGGCCACCAATTATCTTTCAACATTGGATACTCTCTTGTGTTATAAGCATTTTTTAATTTCTCTTAATATGCATGAAACATGCAATTTTTCAAAAATTTTTAATTATAAGTTAATAAAAGTAATAATTCCAATTGCCTTTCCTAATTTTTCTTTTTCCCAACATCGTCATAATCGTTTTATTCATTAATTGAACTATCAGATAAATTTATGTAAATGCTGAAATATAGAAATCGATTTGAAAGCTTTAGGAATAACAGCATTTATAGACTAGATTAATAATTGTCACAAAAATGTGAAATTGGACAATGAATATTGATTATATTACATATTTAAAAATTTTTATGTATTTAATTTAAAAGGTTTCTCTTTCATGTATGTATTTTTATGCAAAATGCTTTGTAAATTAAAAAGTAGACAGAATATTTAATAAAAATCAGACAACTGATTTGGGGTTATTAATTTAAAAAATGTATATTACATTAAATAAAGTATAAGAACTATATGTTTATTTTATTTAATGTTCTTGAAAATTTTTTACATATAAATAAAATAATTTAAGCGAGAGGTAATATAGATGTATTTTTATGTTTTGTAATTATTTTCTTTTTCTTATGATAACCTCATAAACAAATGCTCGTTTGAATTGCGGTACAAATCGATCGTTTGCGAGTATGTAGATAAATGCTGCTAAACACGGACTGATGCGGTTCACGCGAATATATGTAAGTAAAATGTTACTTAAAACAATGTGTAAACATTTCAAAAATGCTTTCACATTTTTTAAAAATACATATTTAAATATTGCAAACAGCTACGGATCCGTTTCGTTAAATTTTAATCATACATAAGTATTTGCGTCAGCAATAATTAAATACGTATAGGTTAGGTTACTTTTAGAAAAGGTTTTTTGCTTCTGTAATAGTTTTGCAGTCAGTATTTTTTTTCGCAATGTTCCATTACTTAGCAATTTAAAATTATATAAAATGATATAATCATATTCGCTTAAATAATTATCTGTGTAATACTTCGTAGACAAGCAAAACGAAGGGGGAGCCCAGATTATTCATAACCTCCTAAAATGTCCGACGACGAGGATTTGGTTTACGTGAAGAAACAGAAAACTGTCCATTATGGCTCTCTGGAGGAGGCAGAACGTGCACGACTTGCAGCTGCAGTCGAAACTGCGGACGAGGAAAAGGATGTCACAAGTACAAACGATGTCGCCAATGTTACCGCTTCCGGGGGAAATGTACACATTTCAAACGAGTACATGGAGCTCGAGGATGAAATGTCCAAGGATCGGCAGGCGCTGCTGGAAGAATTTGAGCGTAGGAAAAAGGCCAGACAAATCAACGTCTCTACAGATGACTCCGAGGTAAAGAAACACTTGAGACAATTGGGCGAGCCAATTTGTCTCTTCGGCGAAGGACCAGCAGATAGAAGAACAAGATTAAGGGAATTATTAGCCAGCGTGGGTGAGGATGCTATTAAAAAGAAACACGAAGAAGAAGAGAAACCGTCTCACCCAATCGAAAAGGATACGGAGTCGACTTGGTACCACGAGGGTCCAGATTCCTTGCAAATTGCACGATCGTGGATAGCGGGTGAGTTACAATTATACACTTGAATCTCCATAAAAATATAACTGTTCTGTTATTTTTTTACTTCAAGAGTTATTACTATATAACTATATTTACAGCGTATTCGTTGCCCAGAGCAAGGGCACGACTGGATAAGGCAAGGCAAGACCTACTATTGCCAGCTGCAACTCGTACAGCGAAGAGACAAGAACTTTTGAAGAAGTTGCAAGCGTTGAGCATTTATTGCTCTCAAATCGGTGACAGGAGGCCCATTTCCTTTTGCCAGTTCAGTCCTAATTCAAAAATCCTTGCTACAGCTTCATGGTCGGGCTTATGCAAGTTATGGTCTGTACCCGACTGTACTTTGTTGCGCACTTTACAAGGACACAATTGTAATGTTGGCTGTATTGTTTTTCACCCAAAAGCTACAATAACCGAAGATGTGGTAGGTGATAATGCAGAACAGACTTGCGTGCTGGCATCTTGCGCAGCAGATGGTATGCACCAGATATATAATATTATGGATTTTATTACCCATGAAATTTATTTTACTGTGATGTTATTTTATTACATCTAAATTTTATAATAGGTACTGTGAAACTTTGGGGTGGTGGCACTGGCGAAGAACCATTAGCGGAAGTGGAAGGACATGAACCTCACAGAGTTTCCAGGATAGCTTTCCATCCATCTGGACGATTTCTCGGTACGTGTTGCTACGACGCATCTTGGCGATTGTGGGATTTGGAGCAACAGGCGGAGGTGCTTCACCAGGAGGGTCATGCTAGAGCGGTGCACTGTATTAGGTATATTTTCTCGCATATATTGTTTATTTATTATGTATTGATCTTTTATATATTGATTTTTATTATATATATTTGCGCATTTGTCTAGCTTTCAATGCGACGGAAGCGTTTGCGCCACGGGCGGGCACGACTCTTTCGGCAGAGTATGGGATTTGCGTACCGGCAGATGCATAATGTTTATGGAGGGTCATTTGACATCGCTCTTCGGCATCGATTTCTCGCCAAACGGTTTTCACATAGCGACGGCAAGCGAGGATAACACCTGCAAGATATGGGACTTGCGGAAGAGAACTTGCATATACACGATACCAGCGCATACCAATTTGCTGTCCGACGTGAAATACCAGAGAACAGAAGGGCAATACTTGGTTACTGCATCTTACGACAGCACAGCCAAAATCTGGTCCAACAAGACATGGCAGCCTCTCAAGATGTTACCAGGCCACGATGGAAAAGTCATGTCCGTCGACGTATCGCCCGATCATAAGTTTATCGCAACCAGTTCGTATGACAGAACTTTTAAGTTATGGGCTCCGGAATGAAATACTTGAGAGAACATTCCTTCTCAACAACTGTCTCAAATATCATAAAAATTTATCTTAGTGCGTTTTTTATACAAAAGTAGTGCATAAACATACGAAATATTCGTGTGAAATATAAAAACATTCGATTTGTTCATCACGTATATTGCAATTTTATGTGAATTGCATATTAATATCATTGCGATCATGTAATTTTTTACAATTTTTATAAAAATTAACATCTCTGAAAATAATATTTTTATATTTATTTTGAAGTGTTTTTTTTTGTTTTGTTTTTATTGGAGATGTATTTTTTATTCCCTGAATATACAGCTTATTTGATTGCATCCGGAAATATGCGAGAATATTATTAACGTTCGCACTACACGTTTCAGAGAAATATGTCTTCCGTGAAATAGGTTTTATAATCGCGTATAAACTTTTGACGTTATTTATAACTGGGGCAGCTGCCCGTTCAATAGGCGCACTGCTGTTGTGTCAACGTTTATATCATCCTCGAGTCGCCCGTTAACTACAGTATCCGAACTCTCGTGCCTAGGTTTGTTGAGTGGATTTCAAGACGAGCTGAAAGTGAAAGACTTCTTACTGTTGTGATATTAACAAACTTTCGAAATTTTGAAAACGATAATACAATACCTTTAGAACTTTTGTTAATCTTGCATCATTCTACTGACGGACAGAGAGAGAGAGAGAGAGAGAGAGAGGGAGAGAGAATGAGAGTCTCTCTTTAAGATAGATTAATTTATCTGTTACCAGTTTTCAATTATATTCAAGTGTCTTGATTTTATGCATGAATTACATAATATTTTTGCGTATCGACAAAAATATTTATTACTTTTGGGATTACTTATGATAAAAATAGAATAACGTACTCTCTTTGAATTTATAATAATTTATAATTTTAATTTGTTAATAAGTCATTGTCAGATGTACTGAAAATTGTATCTTTATAAATCCAATAATTAAATTATTCTAAATAGTATCACAGCTAAATAGTGTATAGCTATGATGTTGAGCTATTCCTAATCCATAAATGCTAAAATTTAGTTTATAAATATTTTTTTCGTGATCAATATTTTTGTTGTCAATAAATTACATCGTATATAGTTACAATTATAAATTTTGATTCGATACATATATCTAAAAAATGATTAGATAAGATAGTACTTTATTTGGTTTATTCGTAGTCTATCAGGCCCGAGTTTATCTCCCGAAGTTCGATTATATGTATCGTGCTTTTCCTTTAAAGAAGCTCGTTCGTAATATTTTACGAATGATTTTAGCTATCCCGAGATCACAAAGTTTGAAGCGATCGATTCATGTTGATTCTGTGAGTGGTAAGGATTGATGAAGCCAAATTCCGCTGCCCCCTTCAGCGAAATCCGCGACCGCGTGACCATCGCCTTTCAAAATCCATTTCGTCGTTAAAAGCCCATCCACTCCTACCGGACCACGTGCGTGGATACGTGCCGTGGAAATACCGACCTTAAAAAAAAAATTAAGTATGTACATACTGCTCCAAATAATTTCACAAATAGAGATAAATTATTTTGTTTTTCAATGTGAACATTAGTTTTTGTCTCGATCTTACCTCCGCACCAAGACCGAATCTGTAGCCGTCCGCAAATCTAGTACTGGCATTATGAAAGACGCACGCACTGTCGACCTCTCTCTGGAAATGCGTCGCTGTGCTGGTGTGCTCGGTAACAATAACATCGGTATGGCTACTACCGTATTTATGAATGTGACTGATGGCGTCGTCAACGTCCGAGACTATCTCTACGGTGCATTCCAGTGCGCCGTACTCGGTTCGCATGCTTTTGGCGGCAGGCGGACTAAAGGTCAATAGCTCTCTTAGCTTTGGACCGGAATTAATTTTTACCTGGAAAAAATTCCTGTGTTATATACATTCAGAAGATATATTTCTGATAAAATTAATGTTAGGCAACAGAAAATTTCGATTATTGCAACGGAGAAAGAGTTTTAATAATTGATTGTCATGAGAAAATGATACTGGAACATTAAATTAGTATGTACGTATATAGACTGTAGAAAATGTTCTGTTTATATTTCAAAGAAAAGATGTGAGAAGAGTCAATCTTTTCTATCCCGTCTCAAAGGAACTAATATATGTCTCGGTGTAACTCGAGTACAAACTTTTCCAACATTTTGCGAAATCCCGATGAAAAGTTTTTGATGAAAGTTTTGCTCACGAACGCGAAGTACACGAAATAAGAAACATGACACGAAATAAAAAACAAACAGAAAAAAATAAAGATTTTTTTAAATTCTTAATCCTTTGAGCTTTACGACACACAGAATCTTTGATCCTCTTAAAAAAAACTAATTTCAAAAAACTAAGATGATATCTATACACATATATGTATTTACACAGTAATATATTTATATTTTTTAATACTTTCAATCTCTCGGAGAAAATTAACTCACCCCTTCTTTATGCAACATGCTGCATACATCACTAAAGAAACTGCCGCTCATAAGACTTTCATGTATCAGTAACGTCTCCATAGCGTTGCACGCGGCTGGATAATCGCACTTGGAATCCTTAATGATTCTCATGGCCTTCGCTACATCCGCGTCCTTGTCAATATAAACGTGACAGATACCCTCGGCATGTCCTAACACAGGAATGTGCTTAGATTGTTCCTGGATCGTGCGGACCAAGTCCGAGCTACCGCGAGGGATGATGAGATCTATGTGTTTCTCCATCGACAGAAGATCGCCCACATCCTCTCTCGTGGACACGAGCGAAATGGCGTTTGAGGCACCGAACTTGTCCAACGCCTCCTTCACGAGCATCATCAGATATTTGTTACTGTGGGAAGCTTCCTTGCCACCCTTCAGGAGGAGCCCGTTAGCGCTGGACATAGCCAGGGCGGCTACTTGAGGCAGGCTGTCCGGCCTCGATTCGAAGATCACCAGCAACACCCCGATGGGCACCGTTATCTGCTCCAATTGCAGACCATCGGCCAATCTAGTCCTGCGAAGTACGCGACCTACATTATTCAATGAATCGTTCGCGATCTGATACAGACCGGAGCTCAAGGATTTGAGTTTCGCCGGAGTTAGAGACAAACGCGACAGCAATGCCTTTGCCAGATTCTTCTTGCTCGCGGTCTCTAGATCCAGCGAATTTGCCTCGAGAATCTCAGATTGCTTTGACTCGAGCAAACTCGCGAGGATTTTGATGCACTCGGCTCGTTCCTCCGGACGTAACGCCTGTAGCATTCTACTGCCGACACGGGCTGAAATTTTATTCGCATTCGTGGATACGTTATCGTACAAATATCGAAATTGGAGAATAAATTGCGTTGTTTCGATTTAAATAATTTTGATCTTATTTTGCTATTGTGATGCTTCTACACATTTATGTTATTTGTACATATATATATATATATATATATATATATATATATATATCATTATTGTATATATATATATATATA